TATTATTATTATTATTATTATTATTATTATTATTATTATTATTATTATTATTATTATTATTATCTGAAGCCATTACTCAAACTGTAGTTATTTCACACTCTTGACTAACTGGTTGCTGCTCATTCCTTTTTTCCCTGCCTGACATGGTCAATACAATACAATTCTGGTACAGGGGTATTTTGGAAATACCCCCAAAAGGATTGTCCTTTCCATCTTTATGGCAATGAGCATGTTTACTTGTCTGACTAACTATTGTACCTGAGCTCATTATGCATATAGTGTTTTATTCCCATCTCCCCCAGTAAAAATACACATCCACAGTTAATTGGCTATGGTTACCTTCACATGAAAATCATATTTAGACATCTAAAACATCTAGTTTAATATAAATTAATATAAATCTTTTTTATATTTTTCCATATGTCCCATCCTTCTCAAATATCTTTTCTAAGCTCAACTGTGCAGAGTTTTGTTCTTTCTTTTGATAGTCCTCCCAGAAAGTTATTTGTTGGAAAAATGTAGTAATTTAATTTAAATATTTAATTGTATAGGCGCTTTGGGGTATATAATGAGATACATTTTTTTAAAAAAAGACCATGTTTTGCAAGTTTTAAATTGAAATTTCCTGGAACAATCTCAAATCATTGGTAGAGTTTTTTTTAAAAAAAAATCTTGTGCCATTTATGTAAAATGTGTGGTTTTATCAGAATTATTCTGCTGAGAATAGTCGTATCATTTCTTCCTTTAATATGAGCAACTTAAATGAATTAAGACAAATGAAAAGATATACATCCAAAGAAATTGGCTCTTATATCTAGACTATGAGCCAGAAATATGAAATGTAAGCATTTCTCTTGATCTAAGAGTATAGTTTTTAAGGGTGTTTGAATACTTGTTACAAAAATGGGGAGAAATGATATGATTATTAATTATTCTGAAGCACTCTGCTGATTTATTGTTTTAGGATTTTAATAATATATTTGTATAGCATGAAAAAGGCCTTTTTGTCTCCTGGCAAGAAACCATTCTGCTAAAAAACAAAACACAGGGACAGATATAGAGTCTTCTTCCAATAGCTATTTAATTGATCTATTTATGATTAGTCTTTTCCAGACTTTGGATATTATAAAATACTCTGCAATGACATAAATAATCTGAAATATGAGATGTAGTAAAATGTAAGATTTTTGTGGATTTGTATAAGATTTGGTGTTTTCAAGCAGAATCTTGGGAGATTTTGAGATTTAACAAACTTTTGAAATCTTTTAACATTGTTTTATTTACTGGGGGGTGGGGTCAGTGGAGTATAAAAGATGGGTAAATATTTGGGACAAGTGCATCATATATTTTCATCCTGTAATTGTCAAATAATATTTGTTAGGATTTTTCAGAAAAATTTAAGAATTACTAAATCAAAGATTTGACTATACGCAATTTTGATACAGGTCTATAACTAATATAACTTTGATTTTTAAGAAAATATAAGAGATACACATTTAAAAGTAAACATGGAAATCCCAGGCAAATTTATTAGGAATTAAGTTTCATTAATCAAAATGGGCCTTAGTTCCCAGTCCCCCAAAGTCCAAAACCCAATTCAAAACCCTTAAAACAATAAAAAAAAATGAAAATTAAACTTTAGCTAACATATTACTTCCTTGTTGAAACCACCAATGCATGCACTCTTCCATAACTTTGTGTTGCTTGTTCTCTGTGCAATTTTATACTACAAAACTACCAATTGTTTGTCTACAATCCATTTCTCTTTAAACATTGAAATAAAATGTCCTTCCTGGCTCCCTGATTGGATTTGGTAAGATCTAGAATTGGCAAGTCCCCACTTTCCTTTGGGCAGGCTAACTCTTGTATATTTGATAGCCATGATTAGAAAGTGTGATTGGCACTGTAGCTGTAAACATGGATCATTGTAACTGCTAATGTTTTTTTTTACTGTTAGTGAGGAACACTTTACCCCAACAACACTTTGGGATAAAGGTACAGAGGATGGATAGGAAAGACTTTAGGATGCATGGCATGTTTCAAGAGGGCAGATCATGCTTCTTCATCTTCATCCACATTGATTTGCTTATTTATATTTTGCATGTGATATTTATTGACTTGGAAAAAATCAAAATGTAATAGATGCTTTAAAAGAAATAAATTCAGTATTTATTTTTTATACAAAATATTTATATTACCTATTAGTTTTAAGAGACAGAATTTCAAGAAGATCCCAATGAAAAATGTGTAAGCCACACATGGCCACATTTCCTTACATTTTACATTATATTTTGTTAGTTATCAAATTCATTAGTTATTCTTATTACATTTAAACTTCAAATGACAAAAATAGGTATTGTGCATCAGGTGCCTTATATGAGTAGGAATTCCAATAATATTCTAGAGATTTTTGTCCTTGCTAGGACACAACATTTAGAAAAGTTGACACTGAAAAAACTTCTTCCCATTTTCCATATGTTCTTTTTTGTTGATAATTTTGTTGTATTCTTATATTATCCACAATTTTCTAATAAACATTATTAGTATATGTTGTAGAACTGGATGTTACTGCAGCACTCTGTGTAGTATCCAGGACAACTTGTACAAATTAATCAACTGAGTTCTTGTTACTATCATGCTAATTGGTCTGACTCCCTAAAAGTAATAAAAATATTTCTGATCTTTTTATCTATGCTATTAATTAAAAGCTCCAAATACAGCTTAACCATAAGTACATAATATACATATTAATTCTGATCATTAAGAATGGTTAGTACACATATTTAAAATTTGTTGCTTCTGAAATATTCTTGTAACATGCATAATAACTCATTTTCATGCCTAATTTTTCTTCCCAATTTTCAGTTTTCTGGTCAGTTTTATGGTTGATGCTCGAGGTGGTGCTATGCGGGGTTGCAGACACAATGGGCTTCGAATCATTATTCCACCTCGAAAATGCACTGCTCCAACTCGAGTTACTTGCCGGTTGGTCAAACGCCATAGACTCGCCACAATGCCTCCAATGGGGGAAGGAGATGGTCTTGCTAGTCGCCTTATTGAGGTTGGGCCTTCTGGCGCTCAATTTCTTGGGTAAGGATTTTCTTTTAATAATCCCAAATACTAATTAACAAGAAAATAATAATTTCACTTGAGTCAGTGTTGGGATGGCTTGGCATTTTAACAGTAGAAGTGAAAAGATTTGCAGTGCAAAGAAAGGAACTGATAATTAAATAAGCTTGTGTACCTTTTAATTTAAAGCAAGTCAGGTTTGCTGCGCTTCCTGAAATCAACTGGTGTAAGCCATGCTGAGCTGTAAAAGAAAACCCATTTTGTTATAATACCATCAATTAATTACCTATTCTCTTTTAAGGTTAATTAATTAGGTTAATTACCTAACCTCTTTTAAGGTTAAATAAAAATAGCAGCAGAAATGTTGTCGATACAGATGTAATACCTGTTGAAAAATGCAACACAAGCTAATGCTCCCTTTACAAGGAACTTGTGTTCTCTCACTAGGTATTTTGTCAGTAATTGAGACCTCCCGGGAAGCAGAAACCGGTGATTTTTCTGGGGCCAAGCAATAGAACCGCTTCTCTGACTGTAATTTAGCCTTATATTGCAAGGCCTCCCAGAAAGATCAAACTTGCTGCAAATGTTTCAGCAATTTTTGTTTTTGTTTTCCTTCTGTTGTTCTTTTTTGTGCTGAAACTATCATTTTTCAATACTTTTATTTTTACTGACATTTTCCCTTATCAGTGGTGGCATCCAAAAGTGGATGATCAAAGGAAACCCTTCTATTGCTTAGAATGAATGAACGGCTTCTGCTGGAAACCAAAGGATGAAGGCATGAAAGGAAAGCTTAAATCTGTTACGAAGCAAATTAGACATACCTAAGGCCGTTAACCAAGTTTTAAGTCTGAGTTGTTTTCTAATTATATCTTGTTTTAAAGGTTGGGGTTTTTAGAAGAAATTTGGTATGCATTATAGCTAGGCAAAGCATTAATCTCCTACCATCTTATTATTTTGTTATTGCTGTAATTTAGCAAGGAAATGAGAATATCCCTACATTTAATAAATAAGGGCAAATTTGTAGTGAAGGATTGCTGCTAGAATTTCAATGAAGCACCATTCAAAACTACATACAGGTTTACATTAAAAATGCACCAGATCCAAATCAAGTGCCTATGCACATCATGTATTTTAAGTTCTTATCTTAATTCCAGTATAAAAATGACCAAGATTAGTTTATTTTCTCGGCCTTGTGAGGATTGCCTATGAAAACTGGCACAGGTTGAAAAGTTGTCATATAATTTCCTAAAGGCTGCATCTTATACCATGGCATTTTCCTGGGTGGTGTCCTGGCAGTGAAATCAGAGACACTGAACACTTCTAGCCAAACCAAATCTTGTTACATATTGTCATGCAGTTTTTCATGAGTTCTTAGTGGCTCCCATTAATTTCAAGAAGTGATGCTAATGAATCATTGGACCTATTAATAAACTATAAGGTTCTCTGTTATGGGAGAGTTATTTTGTAAATTGCTGTGGTAAGAGGGTCATTTTCAAACAAGCAAACAAACAAACAATACAGGCAGAAACCTGTTCAGTATAAGCCTAATTCCACTCTGAGCAGACAGTGGCACTGGGGTTCAGTTAAAAAAAAATAGTACATAAAGGTATTTTTTTTTATTTCTTTCTTTCACTGCTGCTTTGGATGTACTCAGTAAACTTCACCTGCCTACGGCTCCTCCCCCACTTAATGAGGGAGAAAGTTTGGTCAGCCGAATCCTACAGCTGGGGCCTCCAGGGACCAAATTTCTTGGGTAGGAGAGACTTAAAACAAATTGATGGATGCCGGCCTTCCCATTCTTCTCCTTCTGCAATATTATTTTTTATGTCATTGTGCCCATGACATTGTCCTTTCTATGATTTTATAGTATGTATTCCTAACCTTTAGTGGACCATTTCTAGCGCTTGTGATATGTGGTTGTTGTTTTGGTGATATGTTTCTACTTTTTCTTAAAGTTCCTTGACCTCACCTTTGATTTAGCATGAGAAAATATTAGTTATAGAATGTACCAGTCACTTCTGCTGTTATGTGCTTGATGTCTGTAGCAAAGCAACCTGGACTGAAAGCAAAGGAATCTGTTGGATTATTACTATTATTATTTTGCTACCATAGTTCCCAGTATGATACATATCTTATATATTGAATATAACATAACATTTAGCATGATCAATAAATACAGCTGTACATAATTCAATTCTTCTTGTGAAATTATTAATATAACAATGTATGTACAGAGTTTACAAAAGTAGAACGTATGTTTTAAGGCAGTGAATTAGAGATATGCATAATAAACATTTTTAAATCTTTGCATTTATAAAATAATCTGAAATGAATTATTTCAATATATTCACCATATTAAAAAAAGTTTCAAAAATGTCAGTTAAAATAGAGAGCCAATTAAAACCAATGCAAATAAAGCACAAAAATATCCTGTTACTTAAAGTGGTTTCTTTTATCCTCTGCAGGTAGTCCTCGTCTTACAACCATTTGAAGTTACAACAGCACTGAAATTTTTTGTCACACTTATGACAGTTGCAGCATCCCCAAAGTGATCCAAATTCAGATGCTTGGCAACTGGTTCATATTTATGATGGTTGCAGGGTCCCGGGGTCATGTGATCCCCATTTGAGACCTTCTGACAAGCAAAGTCAGTGAGGAAGCCAGATTGTATTAAAATAACCATGTTACTAATTTGACAACTGTGACAAGAAAAGTTGCAAAATGGAGCAAAATTCACTTAACAACGTCTCATTTTAGCAACAGAAATTTTGGGCTCAATTTTGGTCATAAGTTGAGGACTACTTGTATTATAAAACATAATTTTTCTTTAACATTTATACACGCAGTGCATTCTTTATAAGGATTCCTGCCTACAATTCCATACTTCAAAATAACTTTCAATTTTATGGATTTTATCAGCGTTTACAAACAAAAGATACATATTCATATCTGTTTCTTTTTGCAAGGTTCTATTTATATAGAATAAAACTAGACACTCACTGATCATAATCCTTAGTTACAGTATGACGATACTATTACTGTAGTATGCTTTTTCACAATCATAGCAAGGAATAACAAGGCAGAGTTCCAGGTCTTTTTGTTACAGGCTTTAAACAAAACTATCTGTTTGTTTCTCTATTGTCACAATCTTTTAACGTGATGTATTGCTGTAATAGGCCTGTGATTGTTGAAATCCCTCACTTTGCGGCATTACGTGGTAAAGAAAGAGAGCTGGTGATTTTGCGCAGTGAGAATGGGGACAACTGGAAAGAACATTTCTGTGAATTTACAGAAGATGAGTTGAATGAAATACTAAATGGAATGGATGAAGGTACATGTTTTTATAAACAAGATCTTAAAGCTACAATAAAAAGAAATCAAAGTAGTAATCCTAGCTGGAAGGTATAGCAATTCTAATTTGCCTTATAGTTACTGTAAATTACTTAAACACTCAAAATAATGAAAATAATTATATAGTAGAAAGTTAACAGATTTTCGGAAAGAGAGCAAAATGAAATATAAAATAAATTCCAGTGTTTGAAGTTCAGTGTTTCCAGTGTTTGAAGGTTGTGTCATTGCAATTTGAGTAATTTTTGTTGTTAGTATGAGACATTTTGCTGGTCAGTATAGACCCAATAATACTCAATATGATCTTGAATATATGGATGAGGTCATCCATTATCAGCTTTTAAATGGAACTGTTGTAACCATGTGTTACAATTAATGAATTGTTCTATTAATGTGAAATTCAAAACCTAAATCTATTCAGAGCAAACTTTAAGAAAGTTATTCTGGCTTCACCTCTTAGGATTAGAAGCAAAATTAGGGGGAAAAAAAGGTGTGTAAACATATATTAGGATTATGCAAGCTTTGACAATTATCTTAAAAAGGCAGTTTGACCTCATAAGAATACAGCATATCTCTGATGTTCATTATAATGAACATATTTGTCCAGCTTCTGTGTGATCCTGAAAAGAAAAAAAATGGCCATTCTAAGATGGTGTTACTGTTAATGAGGTACTTTCAAACAACTATAATTTTTCTAGGGTATCATAGAAGCTTGAACTGAAATTGTTACCTAAAGGAGTTTTTATTCATTTTAAAGTATTTTTTGAAGCATTAAGAGGTCCATACATTAAAACAGGTGTGGGGAATGATGATCCCTTTATGACTTGTGGACTTTAATGCCCAGAATTCCTGAGCTTGGCTGGCTCAGGAATTCTGGGAATTGAAGTTCAAAAGTCATAAAAGCACCATTGTTCCCCAACCCCTGCATTAAGAGTATAAATATAAAGACTTTCTTTTAACAATTCCAGTGTATACTATTAGAAATAATGCTTGCTCTTTTCACCTAGTGCTCGACACCCCGGAAGAGCTGGAAAAGAAGCGTATTTGCCGTATTATCACCCGAGATTTCCCACAGTACTTTGCAGTGGTTTCTCGGATTAAACAAGACAGTAATCTCATTGGACCTGAGGGTGGTGTACTAAGCAGTACTGTAGTACCACAAGTGCAAGCAGTCTTTCCAGAGGGAGCATTAACTAAGAGAATTCGTGTTGGTCTTCAGGTATGAGAAAACAAATCAAAACATTGTAAACCTTTTTTTAAAAAATAAAGTTTTATTTGGGTTTTCACACATACAAAATACAAGTAAAACATCTTTTTTGAAAATAGCATGGTCCCAGGTTGAACTTCTTTATACAGACACAAAACTCAATTTCATGCTCCTTTTTGTATTCTATTCCATATCTTATACTATTCTACATTTTCTATATAGTTTTTCCCCTCTTTTAATTATCTCAATTTTATTTTGATTATTGCATCTCAATTCAAATCATTATATTTATACTTTTGTCTGTTCTGTTTCAATTTCATATTATCTTTTCTCATTAAACAAATTTTCTCCTGTAGTTACTATTTGGAGAATGACACCTTTATATCTTTTAATTACATCCATTCAACTCTTATTTAAACTTCAATATATACCTTAAGGTTATGACCTTCAATATAATACATAATACATAACTTCCAATCAAATTCTGCTGGTACATTCTTATAATACACCCTATATTCTTAAAAAAAAAGATTATAAATATATGTAATTATAAATCCTCATTCCATTCCAATTCAGTTTTATCATTAATAATCATTAAAATCTTAACATCTTTAACACTTCATTTCAATTAAATATCATACTTCCTTAAAGACACATATAATCTCCATAATTAATTTTTCCCTTATTATATCTTCACATATGTTTTGTAAATCATTAAATATTCATTTTGTTACATTTATTTATTGACGAGCATTCCACTGAATTACGATAGCAATTTTATCAAACATTTTAATCATACATTGTTTCATATTTTCTAAAATTATTTCTGTTACTAATATAACAATACTATCTTATGTACCTTTGCAGAATCCCTTTTTCCATTAAATTTTCATCCATTATCTCTAAATAGGCCCTGTTTCTCTATATTTTGTTTCTGTCTTTTATAACTTCTTTTCCTTTATTTCTTCCCTCTCATCTTCTCCCTCCTCTTTTTACCCTCTTGTCTCTCTACTTCTAATTCTCTCTTCTGCATTTCCCTCTTCTGTTGCTTTCTGATGTTATACTTATTTTTCACTCTATTTTTTTTTTTTGGAGTTGTTTTTCCCAATCTTAAATTTTCCATTCTCTTTCCCCCACTTTCCTTTTTTTCCCCCACCTAAGATTACTTGTTCATTAAAGATGGCTTCTTCTTTGTCTCAATCTTCTTGTTCTGCAGGCATTTCTTGTTGTTTCTCATAATTCCAAATCTCCATTTCTAAAAACTGAAATACTGAGCCAAAAGAACCTCTCCCTTCTCGTGCATCTTCTTTGTACTTTTTAAGTTCCATTTTCAGTTCTTCTAAAAGTGGAGCCATTTTAAACAGTTTTAAACAACCACCCGATTGATTTTAGTCATTCAAATACAATAACCAAAAATCCAGAAATCATCAAGTAATCCAAATAGTCCCAAATTATTTCTTCTTATTTCTTTTTCCATTTTCTCTTCCTGGGGTTTTTGTTGCGATATTTCAATTAAAATGTGTCTTTTGGAAGTCTTGTTGAGATTTTTCTGTAAGTTCTTTTTAATTCCAGGCAGTCTCCTCCCTTCCAGATCCTGCCCTTTTATTCTTTTTCTCTCCTTTCCTGTTTTCAAAAGCTTTTGATTATCCAGAAATCTTTATTATTCCTTTGACTTTTTATTTTCAGCATTAAATGCCTATTAATGTCAAAGTGGATTTTTTTTCCAGTTTCTTACTTAAGTCTCTTAGCTGTCAGTATAGGAAAAGGAGAAAAAAAACCCAAATCTTTTCCCTTTTCTCTCTCCTTCGCAGCTTAAAAATCTTCTTAGGGAACAATGTTATTGTTTTTTTTAAAATAGTTTCAATTCCAGGGTACCTTATTTGTTGCTTTTGCTGTTTGACCCAGTCAACCAAAACTTTCTCTTATCTTCCTCCTGCACATTCTTTTCCGGTCGAGTTCTTCTTTGTGGTGGCCATTTCTGACCACCGTTACAACCACCTTCGGGAAAGGGCCTGCTGGAAAGGAGAGATGCAGCTCTCCTCAACCCTACAGGCAGTCTCCCCCCTCTCACCACCTCCACGGGGTGGCTTAGCCCCAAAACCAGCCGGCTCGGGGCGCTCCAGCGGAGAGCACGGATTGAAGCCTCACAGAAATGAGGTTTTGATCTGTTGCCGAAGAAGCTCAAACTGGAAGTCCAAAAACATTGTAATCCTTGAAGCCAATATTTCTGTTGAGGATAAGAGTGGTTTCCTGTAATTCTATTTCATTATAATTCCTCTATGGTATTTTTTTCTTTTTTCCCAGCATTTTAAGTCTCCTGAATTCCAGTTCCACCGGAGAAAACTGGCCCCATTATAATTTGTAAAATGTTAGCTAAGTATATCCAAAATTTGTAGCAAAAGTTTGAACAAAATTTCTCCATAATTATATTTAAAACTGATAATGCATTCAAAACATTTATTTAAATAAAGAGTCCTTTTTAAGAGGCAAATTAAAATGGTTCTTGTCAGATTTGTTTGTTTGTTTCTTGAATTTATATGGCCACCCACTCAAGTTTCAGTGACTCTAGGTGGCTTACAAAAAAAACTCCAATATAAAAAGAGTTAAAGCAATAACTGCCCACCTCACAGTGACAAGGAACCATATAAGCTGCTTCTTGGACTCCATCTCACTCTGGGTTCCCAAGGTCTGTTGGCAAAACCAAGTCTTCAGGGCCTTGCAAAAGAGTGCTACTTTTGAAAGTACCTTTCATCCCATAGCACACAAACATTAAACTTTTATGTAGTGCTTTTTGTAAAAACTTATTGTACAATTAATTACCTACTAATTCTTTTAACGGCTACCAGCTCATGATGGCAAAAATCTAGATTAATCACCCAAAAAATTATTTACTGCCATCTAGTAACTCTCTGAATTTTTTTAGTCATCTTTTGCTATTGCCCATTTTTGTAATATGTTCTGAGTTTTAGCGTTCTACTGAATTTAGAAGAAAAAAAAAACAGAGAACACTAAAGTATAGGTTCAACTTCAATATGTCATTAACTTTTGGTAAGTCATTTATCCAAAATTTAGTGAGAAAATCTAATGAGAAGGACTGGTAACAATCATCTCGATTTTATAGCCAAGATATACAACAAACAGTAATGTATTCATTGTTATATAAGAAAAAAACCTGTCTCAGGGAAAGTTATTTTGAGTTTATAACAGATGTTTTAAACGGATGGCCATATATGTAATATATTTATCTGTGCATGCATATTGTATAAAAACTATGTGTCTCCTTTTTAAAACATTTTAGGCTACTGACTGGCCCACTTTTCATGAGTTGAGTCTTATTAAACTTACTAAGATCCCTAAATGTAGAATTGAATTGTGAGCAATAACTTAGGTTCATTTCTCCCAGTTTTGTCTGTTACCAAATTTATGATCAGTATGCCAGAAGTCTAATTTAATTCACAAATAATCCAAAATAATTAAACTTTTCACTAGAAGAATTCTGTATACAAAATATAATAGGACTTTGTTATAATTCTATCATTTTCAGCAAATAATGTAAGAATATGAAGATATTCAGTTTGTACTTATCTAATGGCTAGAGATAAGTGAATTTATCCCATCATAATTCAAATGGATTGAAAGATTTTTCAGGGTATTGTCACAGTTCTCTTTTCTTGAGAATTCTGTGAAACCATAATAACTCAGAGTTTTGGTAAATGATAATTCCTAGCAGTGACCTCATGGCCAACAAGTAAGGGAGGAGGTATCAACAGAAGATATCAGTTAGCAGCAAAGCAAGAGAAATCATCACCACATAGGACAAAGTGTATTATTGTAGTTAATCATAATTCAAGTAATTTTAATTAAGATAAATTTTATTTTCTCCATATCTTTGAATAGGCCCAACCTATGCACAGTGAACTTATAAAGAAAATTTTAGGCAACAAAGCCACATTCAGCCCTATTGTCACACTGGAACCTAGGCGAAGAAAATTCCATAAGCCAATAACTATGACCATTCCTGTTCCCAAAGCTTCCAGTGATATGATGATAAATGGTTATGGAGGTGAAACTCCTACTCTAAGACTACTATGCAGCATAACAGGTAAGCTCTCATATGTCTCTGCAATTTCATACATGATGCTGAAATAAAATATTGGTGGTTTAAGTCATTAAAATTTTCATTGAAGCTTTGTTACAAAATTATGTAAACTGACCTCCCTAGATCATAGTTAAGAGCATTGGTTTACAGCAAAAATGTACATTGTCTAACCAAACAATGAATACTGTCATTAAAATAACCAATTAATTGTCATTTTAACTACAGTATATTCTAAAAATATGCTCAGGCACTAGAACAGGTAGTTTAAGAATAGGAGCTGTCCTACGAAAAGAATCATTGACAATGTTATTGTGAAATAGAGTTGTGGAGAAAAGTAGCTTTTAAACATTATGGATACCAGCCATTATTTATTTATAACATTAATATAACTGCTTAATTGGTTTTGTTTTATAATTTCTTTGCCTTGTAAAACAAAGGGCAGACCTATTTTTCCAGAGTTTTAAATTGTCAAAATATAAGTACATTGATGAATTGTAAGATTTAAGAAGAGATTGGACAACCATTTGTCTGAAATGGTATAGGCCGTGTCTCCTGCTTGAGCAGAGATTGGTCTAGACCAGGGGTCTCCAACCTTGGCAACTTTAAGACTGGCGGACTTCAACTCCCAGCTGTGCTGGCTGGGAATTATGGGAGTTGAAGTCCACCAGGCTTAAAGTTGCCAAGGTTGGAGACCCCTGGTCTAGAAGACTTCCCAAGTACATTCCAACTCTTATTCTGTTCTGTTAGAAGAATATCCCTGTTGGATCAGGTCGAGAGGCATCTTTGTCCAACCCCACAGGTTTTTCTGAGGAATTCACAAGGAGTAAAGGTGGTGACACATTGTATATTCTCTTACTGTAATTCCCCTCAGCAGGTTTTTGGTAGTGATGCTTCTCATGCCTGAATTAAATGTCAAATAAATAATAATGAGGAAATTCTCTCATCAGCAGTTTTCTGATTAGGTAGTGTGGGTGAGAAAAGTAGCTTTGAAACAATACAAATAATAAGTAATAGAAAACAACAACGCAGTCTGTACAACCCGTAATTCAAAAAATAATCCCAAAACTACCACCAAAATAAAACAACACAAACTCTATAGTATCCTAGAGAAAACCAAAGCTACTTTGCCAAGCAAGAGAAATTGAGTTTGCAGTGCAGATTTTAGCACAGTATTAATGTAAATAATTTACTATTTTTTTCATTTTATACCCTAAAATAAGTTCTGGATTCCGAAGATCACAGACTTTATAATTGTATATTAATGGAGATACAAATTGCTCCTATGACTTGAATAATAAATATATTAGTCTTCTATACCAGGACTCCTAACCCCCAATCCTCAGACCTGTTAGGAACTGGGCCTTGCAAGCAAGTGAAGCTTCATCTGTACATGTTCGGAATCTAGGTAGAGTGTGAAACCACACCTCTGGTCTGTTAAAAAATTGTTTTCCATGGAACCGGTCCTCAGGCCCAAAAGGATGCTGTTTTATATTTGTCATTGGAACCTTGGGAATACTCTTACGTCAGACTTTGCATGATTGGGAATTTAATTAAAAGTAATTTTATACATTCAATTCTACAATTTTGCAGGAATGTTTACTGTTTATCCCTATTTGTTTCAGGTGGAACAACACCTGCTCAGTGGGAAGACATAACAGGAACAACACCATTAACATATGTAAATGAATGTGTTTCCTTCACCACAAACGTATCTGCCAGGTACCACCATACAGAGCAGTACCCAATAATAAAATTGTAAAAAGCATTTCAGAATCTTAAACTTAGTCTGGCAGTAAATTATGCATATGAATCTTATCCATAAGTCACGTACTAAATTAAGAAGGATCCTTCCTTAATTTTGACCTAATCCTGAGATAAACTAAGTTATAATTAACTCTAATTGCTATACTAAATAAATACATCTAATGCCAGCAGTGCAAGTAAACTTACTGTTCTCTGGTATCTGCTCCTATGTCAGAGTTCTAAACAATTGTTTCCTTGGGATTTCATAGACTGAAGGTGTAAGAAACTTCTTGTTCTGAGGCATTAGAATGTGGCCCTGATTTAAAAAATTGAGCACTCTAAGAAGGATTTTCTTCTTGACTTTCTTTTAAAGTCTGTTGCTTAGAATAGTTATGAAGAATTCAGAAAGAGCAGAACAAAGTACAGTGGTTTGAGTAGCAAGATGAGTGGCATATCAATTTAATAAATAAAAAATAAACACTTGCAAGAGATAGAATAGGAAAAACAAGGTATAATGTATTGGGGCAAACATTGTTCATACTTTGGTTTAAATTAAGGTAAAAGTGTCATTGAAGACATTCTATAATCCCGAGTAAACTAGCAATACATTCAGATCCATTTCAATCCTCACATTAAAATCCAGGGGCAGTTCAACTTCTGTCAAATCTGAATTATTAAGTAAATATTTGGATTTGTCTGAAATCAGTGCTAGTTCCTAATGTTTTAGAAGTTTCATCACATTTATCATTGCCTTCACCCACTTGTTAGATTTTTTTTTGGCAATAATTTAATATGTTTGTTTATTTTCAGATTTTGGTTGATAGATTGTCGACAGATACAAGAATCTGTAGCATTTGCTTCCCAAGTCTATAGAGAAATTATATGTGTACCTTACATGGCCAAATTCGTAGTGTTTGCCAAATCTCATGATCCCATAGAAGCCCGACTAAGATGTTTCTGCATGACCGATGATAAAGTGGATAAAACACTAGAACAACAAGAAAACTTTGCTGAAGTTGCTCGAAGCAGGGATGTAGAGGTATTATTTTTATTTTTGGACATGTTAGTTTAAAACAATTGTTTCCATTTTCTTATGAGTTAAAAAATAGAGAATAGGGAAAAAACCTTATTATTTTACAGAACCTAGGTGACACGTGAATATTTAATTTATTAATTCAAAATCACAGCATGGTGGAAGGGATTAAACTTTTCATTTATGCTGTTTTCTTTACAAAAAGAGTTTACAAAAAGAGTTACTATCCGGTAGCTTAATTTGCTCTGGGCCTTTTAATTAGACTGATCTGCTCTTAAAACAGTAGTATAGGGATGTGGCAGGACTTTATCTACCAAGAGACATATTTTAGAAAACAGGTGTATAATATCAAGTTAACAAATCACTGAAATCAAGTCAGAATGCTAACTTTTAAAGAGCTAAAATTCAATTAATCAATTAGCAGTTGGTGTGTTTTCAATAGCTGTATTTAAGGAAAAGATAATTCCATATGCTTTCCACCTTTTTTCATGTGGAGTAGATATCAGTAAATTTTCTTTTTACTTTTATACTGTGATTTTTGTAAAGATTCTTCCAAATTTTAATTAAGTTCTTATCAGTCTATCCTTACTATTTATTGCTGAATCCAAATCTCTTTAAATGTTGCAAAATCTGTTGTACTGCATGCAGAACCCATCAGAAGTTGAATATTTTATCTTAGTCATGTATTTCTGACAGTTTCTTTTTTCCTTTACTATGGTTTTTGGTTGTTGTCCATTACAAAGCAGTTCATGAATTAAAAATCCAGGGAAGTAATGCTATTGAGTTTTTAAATTTAATTTAATATGGTATTTTGTTTACATTTGATTTAACCAGATTTATATAAATTGCTTCTTGCTCTGATATTTATATCAAAGATTTTTTTTGACTGTGTAAAAAATTAGGAAAGAAAAACACAAAAATTCCTAAAACGTTTCAGCATTTTGCATTCGTTTGAAGACATATTGCATATATGTATTACTAAGAAACGTTGATTGTCTGAAAATAATGCATTTGTATATATTTAGAATTCCTTGCATACATGTTAATCTATATATGCTGTTGCTGTTTATTTGTAATTGCAGTGGGGTGAGCTTGCCCCACTACTGCTAAGGTAGCAGTTTGAAAGCATGCAAATGTGAGTAGATAAATAGGTACCACTTCAGTGGAAAGGTAACAGCTTTCTGTGTATGTTGGCATACAGTCATGCTGGCCGCATGACCATGAAAGAGTCTTTGGACAACACTGGCTCCATCAGTTAAAACATGGAGATGAATCCCACTCCCTAGAGTTGAAGACAGGGGAAACCTATTTCTTTATATTAATAATGTTTTTTAAAAAATAAGGGTAATCATATATTCTAACTTAACCAAAATAAAAATAAGAACAAAATTAATGAACATTTTATTTTCTTATTAATTATATGTAGGTATTAGAAGGAAAACCTATATTTGTGGACTGCTTTGGGAATTTAATACCATTAACAAAGAGTGGCCAACATCACATATTCAGTTTTTATGCTTTCAAAGAAAATAGACTTCCATTATTTGTCAAGGTAATTTTGATATAAATATTTTGTTTTAATACCAATAATAAAGTTATAGTGTATTGGTCTATGTTATTTACCCTCAGGAGAAGGGAGAGGTAAGTGACAAAAAAACTGCAATACCATGATAATTAAATTTTTAAAGGTGGATTGTCCATATATTCCATTTAGATGCTAACAAATAATGTCCTGTATATAATATTAATTACCTGTTCTGTGTTTTAATTTTTTTAGGGGTCTGCAAAACCTTTAGTACTTTCTAGAATAAATAATAATATAATGTTCTTATTTACGCAAGCTCTGACTGAAAAGGATAGTATGGTTTAATTTAGGAATATTGTGGACATTTCAGCCCAGTTATTATTATTATTATTATTATTATTATTATTATTATTATTATTATTATACATTTGTTCTCCCCTTTAGAAACTTGTTTTCTGAATTGGCAATCTGTAGGCTACCTCTGAAATGGCATGTGTTCCCCATTTCAAGCTATCTATCTGCCAGATTCTCTTCATCAGTCTCAGAATGATACCCTGTTCCTCTTGAATAATGAACTTTTCTTTCATCTATTGCTTTGCAGTTTGATCTACAGTCATTGTCCCTTTATGACCAATTTAGTTTATTTTTTCTATTGGTCATTCAGTATTATATTCTGTCTATATTCAATCAACATCCATACATTCTGTATCTCATATTTTTATCCCACAGACTTCTTAAGAATCTTATTTCCAGTATGTTCAGCATATTGTGGTTTTTGTGGCACAAAACCTCACTTTTGTGGCTCACTTTCATATCACAAAGTAGGCTGAAACACTCCTTATACTCTTTGCTTCTTTTAATAAATATTCATTCATCTGTTGCCATATATTAGTTATTATCAGCATTTGCAGAGTTTATAATTTTCTGTCCTGGTAGCATTCTATCAACATATATAAATCCACTTACTTGTTTTAGTTTTTTTACCATTTATTGGTAAAATAACTTGCAATTATTCCATTTTCCCATCAAATTTCACTGCCTTAGTCTCTGATACTATACTTTACTATACTCAGATCTATATTGCTCTGTACAGAATCATATAATCACTAAGGTTCTTAGTCAACATTTGATTAATTTCCACTGTTTAATATATTACTCCCACTCTAACCTGTAAAATATTCCACACACATTTTGGCACTTTGTAATATGATTATTTTGATTTTGTCCTAAACAGTTTCAAATCCCATATATCCACTTTCTATTTATTCTGTTGGGAAATTAATCTGTCTTTTAACATTGTTTCATATAGAACATAGATTATATCTTCCTGTAATCTTTTTTATGTTTACGCATGTTTCTTCCCTTTTCTAGCATATCCATTTTTCTACAAGATCCAATCTTGACATTTCTGTCCCATATATACACTTTTTTTACTCTTGTATCCTTTCTTAAGAACTTTTTTTAAGCAGATATCCACTGAACAGATATAATACTCTTTTGTTCTTGGATATATGAATGGCACAATCACTTTTTGGAGTCTCTTGACTTGTTTCTGTTCAGCCAATAATGGAACCTAGCAGAGTTCCCAACATATTCCTCTGAATTCCATTGATTCCTAATATTGCATAATTTTTTCCAGATTTCATCCCTAGTTCTTTCATTATCACCATTCTTTGGACATGCCTCTATTTGTCAACCCATGTATTTGTATTTTCAAACCTACTCATAGCAAGCTGGATAACTCCAGTTTGATTCATAATTAAACCTTCACCTCCACCTTGTTGTAAATATTCATTAACTAAATTTCAAATGTTGCATAAATCTATTTCCAAAGATCAGCTATATGGATGACCAAATTAAATCAGAAAAAAAGTGTTGTCAGGTTGGGTTGGAAGTTAACTGTTGCCTCTTTTTAATAGCTATAATATTACATTTGGCTACCATGATATGAGTTTGGAAAAAGAAGGTGGACATAAAAACCAGACATTTACCCAGGTGCAGTTCATAAGAGATGGTCCTTTTGAAGATCCCTATAACATTTAGTAGAAAAAAAAGGACATGTAGCATCATACTGATCAAATTCCTTGTGATTGAAGAATGTTGGTATATCTGTCATGTGATAATGTGGATGAGAGGATTTGCCTGGCCCTGAAAAATATTTTCCTTAGACTAAAGGAAGTTAGGGTGTGCAAATACTTTATGGCTCTCAGAAGCCTATCTCCAGCAATATCCTTAGTCTGACAGAGTTAACTGACTTTGGGCATAATTTGATATAGCTCAATATTTTTAACACTAGCTTTTTGATTGGAGCATAGTCAAAGTTAATAAGGAATCTACAGCCCCGCAGATATTCTTAATTCCTGTTCTGTTGCCTTTGTCCATAAGCAGCAGCTAAAACTAGCAATAGCAACTCTAAGTCCAAGTATTTCCAACATGCTACCCTTCGTGTCCCATTGTTTACCCAATTTGGGGTATCTCCATCTCAAGCCTGAGTACAATGTTGGAGTATCCTACAGTATGGCAAATAATGACCTTAAAACTTGGTTTGCATTTTTGGGGGGCATTTTTCTTCATATGTTGGTAAACTTGAGCTGCATAAAATATTTAGACTAGCATTTTAGCTTTATAAAGCTTTATTATGAGAAGTATGAGTTCATATTATTTGGAGTAAAGTAAACTTTATGTAGTCTCTTCAGATCATGACTTCATTTGCTGACTATATTCATGATAGACTTTCCATGGTCTGTTGTCATGAAAAACTACTACTAAATATTTAAAGCAGTATATCTGTTCAGTCCTATTCTGGTAAATTATACAAGTTTGTTGTGTTAGGGTTTTGACAAAATACATGAATGTAGATCTCTGGTAATCTATGTCTAAACTGATTTTGATACAGTGAAGTACAAATGTTCTCACTACATGGTCAAGTATAATAGTTTACAAGAAATAACTGCAGGGATATCTGTATGCAATAATATGAGGGCTGTGACCTGCAGTCTTCAGTGCATGAGAATTTGGAAAGCAACTCTGCTTAATAAGATTAGACTATTTTCCTTCAGATCTATAGTATTTAATTCTGCCTGGTTCATAGGCATGCTTTTTACCCTTTTCATTCTAAGTCACAGTAAGTGACACACTAAATGACAACACAGTAACAGTTGTCATCAGATGGGCCCTCCACCACTCATCATGCTTTGGTCAACTGAAGATTTTACCTTTAATTCTATCTGTGACATGCAGTAATACTTGCTGAGAGTAACGAAAGTACTGATTATTTCTGGCACATTTTTTGTCAGCATATCACAGTTAAAACCCAGCTGTATTCCTTGCAAGTTAGGATTTCTCCTTAAGATATTACTTTGGAAGCCAATACACTATTGCCCATATCCCACCAACAAAGAGATACATGCAGTACTGACATGTTCAGAGTGTTGAGTTTGAACTCCTGCTATTTTTCTGCACTAGGTTCGGGATACAACACAAGAATCTTGTGGACGTCTGTCATTTATGAAAGAGCCTAAATCTTCAAGAGGTCTGGTACATCAAGCTATCTGCAATCTGAATATCACATTACCAGTGTACACAAAGGTACTCCTCAGTTAAAATATAACCTGCTCATATATTACACTAGTACACTGTAATTTAAGATGTACTAAACTTGTTCTATGGTTTTGTGTTTTTCACAAATTCACAATAGCATTATGTAAATATCCATGATTTAATATCGCATATTTGGGGTGCATAAATTATGTAACATTCTTTCCTGTCAGAGGATTTCTAGCTTCCCTGAGTGTTTAGGGTCATATATATGGATTACTTTCAACACTATATGGAAGCAATGTCTCATTAGGATGAGTTAATATTTGTCAATAATTCATAACAACCAACATTGTTATCACTCACTCATATGATAATTAAGACATTTCTGTGTGCATTTACATACATAATGCACTTGATTAGCAGAGCAATGCTGGACAACTTTAAAGTAGATTCGGTATCTGGCATTTTTTATTTATAGTTTTCTTGCTCAGCCCCAAACAGTCTTATTTTCCAGCATTGTGTCATTCATAGATGACTCATATAGTTAGTTAAATGAACAGGAATACCACAAATATTCTAACTTTCAATGCAATTCAAACATAGCAACATTAAATTTGAAACTTAACTAGTGACACAAATATAAATCTATCCTAATGCTTACATTTTCTTGTTATTTTTAAGAAAATATCTTTAAGAAACTTTTCTACACAGATTGAATTTTGGCATATTTGAGAAACAGTGTTGTAAGTTTAATACATAATAATCAAACAAAAATCCCAACCTGAAATAGCTTTTCTTCTTTGAACTTACTTAAATCCCCACTTTTCTTAACTTGAACCAACTTTCCTGTTCTCTTTTCTTTCCTTCTTAGGAGACAGTGCAAAAATTGTATTCATTATGTATTCTTACCAATTAAATGTGTCCAGAAATCATACTTTTCCTTTAATTGCACCCTATCTTTCCTTGCTCTGTTTTTCTTTTCTTGCATGGCATATTGGATTAAAGGAATCAGAATCAGATCAAGAACAGGAAGAAGAGGTAACTTTGCTAATTATGCTGTAAAATTGCTAGGATACGGATCTAAATTGGGAAAGAGCAGTCAGTTGAATGCCAAAAGACTTTATGTCAAGTATAAACAACTTATTGCCTATTGACCAGAAGTGGCTCCATCTCAAATTAATTATTTCATGTAGATATTGGCCCAAGTTTCATAAGCCCTTTGCAATCAATGCAGGTATAAACTCTCTATGATCCATATTTATTCTGTTACATTTTATGTTTTGGAAAGAGAGAAGAGATTAACGGAAAGAGAAAAAGAAATATATATATTTATAAGCAGTAAATGTTAATTGCTAATTTGAACCAATATATATTACCAATGAACGAGACACATATACAATAGTAAATTATCTAAATATATAAAACGTATATCTGTAAATTAGCTAAACTACTTTAATAACATAGCTTATATAAAAACTCCACTCCACTACTTCTGATGTGAAAGCTTACATATTTATTAATGATACCCTCAAAGGATAATGAAAGTTCAAGCTACAGCTGATTTAACTTTTTATATTTACATCCTTGTAGTTGAGGTAAGTTTGTTCTTTTAGCAATTTTATCCAGGAATAAATGTCAAGCAAAACAGTAATTAGAAAGAAAGGATGTCTTTTCTTAAGTTCTTAGAATCTTTTATAATGTCAGCCTCAAGATCTCTTCGGGTACCCCAACTATTATCCTTTATTTCTCCCTTAGTATCTCTACTACTAGGCTTACTTCTTTCGGCTGTCATTAGCAACGGGGGGGAGGGGTAATTGTGGGGGGGGAAGAGAGCTGGAGGTGTTTTGCATTCTTTTACTGTGGGCAGAAGAAGGGGGGGGATTTCTTCTTTCCAATTTTCCATTTCTTTCCTAGCCTCTATCCTTTTTGCGCAGCTGCGAGGTCTTATCAAAATATGTCAAGGTCAACGGACAGAGGCCTCATCACTACCTGAAGATGCTCACATGATCATATTCGGAACTTTTAATTGGCAGAGACTTCTGGACTTTGGGGGGTGGGAACAATTCCATTTCTTTGTATGTGTGATCTGCGCGCCAAATTCTCACTTTCGGAATTCCATTTGTAGCTTCCTTTTCATCTTCCAGTAAAAGAAGAACTTTGCTCTGAACCATGGAGTCTGAGTATTTCTTTCTTGGATTTTGAAAGGAGCACATACCGACATATAATATCTAAAAATAACTGCAATTGTAGAGTTTTTTCAGTTAATTGGAGTCGTTCTGTTGTAATTTGTCTCCATTATAATTACCTTCGCAACAGTGCAAAATGATCTGAATTGCAGTAAGCAAAAACTGTTCCCTGTTGAGTTATTTTGATGAAATAGTTTTTCTCATAAGGCTTTTCTAGAAACATGCAGACAATGGATAATTATTAAAAGTAAAAAAAGTAAAAAAGTAAAAAAATTGTAGAAGAAAAGTTTTAAAATTCTAGTGGGAAATGATGCTCTGTAAATATAAAATCATGAGTTAATTAACACTTAACATCTTCAGTTGATGACCGATAAAGAACATATAAATAAATAGATGTATGAATAAAAATAGAACTTTCAAACGTATTTAGAAGAAAATACAAATAATAAAAATATAGAAGAATAAATACCATGTAAAAATATAGTATCCTACACTTAAAAATACTTTAATAAAATAGATTATTCTCTGGCAAAACATGGCAAAAATATAAATATAAATGCTTTGAATCTTTAAAGAAGACTTTAGACTATTTTTAGCTGTATCGTATATTCCCATTTTTGCTATTAACTTCTCAAAATACTTTCCTAAGTGCAAGTTAAAAATAACCCACTTTCCATTTCTGTATTATTTACCATCTCACCCTGTCCAATTGAATGGCTTCTGCCCTCACTTTTTAACATCTAGTATAAATACAGACAATTAACCATTAGCATTGTGTGTGTAAATTGAATTCATGATCACTAATGACTTAAAAGCATGGCTAATTCTACCACTCTTAAGTAACTAACTTAACTGCAAACCTAAGAACATTTATCAAGAAAAATCCAGTTTGGTTCTTCTTTGTATGAGAATATTTAGAATTGAGCTGTTAATTTCATGTTCATTTGTAAAATGAAAGATAGTAGCCTAAAGTATAGTTCAGGATAATAGTTTCCATTGGTTACTGTAACATTATATTTCTATAACCCATTCATTCTTTGTTTTCTTTCAGACTGACATGACATCAGAAAAACGTAAGATTTTAATAAAACTATTTTGGTCTGCATGGATTATCTAATAAAGCATGAAAAGGATTGTAAATTTTAATTGCCACTGGTGATCATATTAACTTTATGAATATAAGATTATAATACTCTAACTATAGTCTGTAGATGAAACCTGTTATTTTGTTATTAATAATTTAAAATTAAAATATTTAGTTCATCTAAGCATTCTCGTTTTTTTTAAATTACCTGGTAACCCTGCTATTGCTGTTAGCCCTCTATATATTGTAACACCTTCCCCCTCTTATTTTAAGTATGTGACCTGAATTCATTTCATTTCATAAACTAATTACAGTATCACTTTTAAAAATTAAAATATTCACACTGTCAAAACTCATCATAAAATTATTCACATGAAAATCCCTAGGTGCTAGTATAAAAGTGATACTGTTAACAGTAACAAAGATCTTTAAACCATCTATCTATGTCTTAATACTCTGGTGAAGTATTTCTCTGGGGAAAAAAAATCATCTCTTAGAATTTTGTTTGCTGGCAATGAATTATTTTTGCCACAAATGAGGATAAAGTTAGGTGATCTTGGCAACTTCCTGTACAAATCTATGCCATTTTCTTGAAAACATGTTTGGACGTGGTTTGCCATTGCCTTCTTTCTAGGGCTGAGAGAGAATAACAAGCCTAAAGTCACCCAACTGGTTTTATGTTTAAGTCAGGACTAGAACTCACAGTCTCCTGGTTTCTAGTCTGGTGCCTTTGATCTCTATACCAAACTGACTCTCTGCATCATGCTACAAATGGCTATTTGAAACAAGCATTCATGTGCTAGACTGCCAGATATATGTTGTGTATCTTGTGATAGCTGCTGAAAAGTATACAGAGAATTAAGTCACATTACAGAAACAGGTAGTTGAGACTAGTAATCCAACAACCCTATCTAAATCAATATAATAGTATGTGGGAGTGACCTTGGGAGGCAAAACAAAGAGAGCAATGAAGGGAACAATTTGATAAAAAGGAGCTGAGCCTTCGGCAGGAAGAGCCTTCAGCAGGGTAAGAGGCTCAAAAGAGTCCCTCCCCAGTTTCGTGGCCTGTAAAGGAGATAAATCTACATAAAAGATCTGTTAAGATAACTTTACAGTAAAATACAATTAGCCCAGCTGGTTGTATTTGCTATCTGGTTTACTTTATAAGGTTGTCAATCAGCCACTAACTCAGTCAAATCTTATTTGACAATTGCAGTAGCTAAATCACACCTTGTTATTTGGCAAATAAATCTACTTTATTCAAGAAGTAGATATACTACTTTATTTATATATACCATGACCTGTTCTACTAGAAGAGTACTAGTAAGCTTTCATCAACAGCAATTAGAATGAACTCTTCAATATCACAAAAAAGAAAAGAGAAAGAAAAACAAGTTGAATATATACAAATAGCATTGGGCATATCTCTAATATCCACAGCCCACAGCCACAGCTGGCTGATCATGAAAAAAGACAGACTGACAAACTAAATTCCAAATAGCTATTAAGTCCTTGATTTCTCTAAAGGGAGCCTTACTGCAAAACTTTTAATCTTTATTCTTGTCATATCCAATGGGTTTTTTTTCCCCCAAATCAGTATACTGAAGTATACTGGATATAGAAAGTCAAACTTCACCACAGTATTTTCCTCATGATTTAATTCCATTTTAATTTTTAACCTTTAAGTTTTATTGGGCTTCTTTTAATGTAAGAATAGTTACCCTGCAATGTATGCAACAGCTTTGCTTTGCATGGAAATAACTTGGCTTACATATATATATGTGTATGTATATATCGTGTGTATGTTTGTGTCTGTATATCTCTGTATGAATGTTTCTGGTTGCCATTCATTACATTTTCTCCCTGAACATTTGAATTCTCTGTTCTATAGTGGTGGTGTTTTAATTAACCCCCCTCCCCTTATTTTCCCATCTTATTTACTTATTTATTTCAATATGAGGATGTTCCAAAATAGGACCATGCCTCTTGAAATAAGTCTTGTATCTGTGTCATTATTTGGATGTAAGATTCCCCTTAGATGAAATGCCGGTTTGCAGCTACCTCAGATATCAGTGTATTTCATTTATTGTAAAGTATTGTAGAATTAAATGTAAACATAGATATTTTTACTTTGATTATTGAATCATGTTTATATAATAGCTACTTATGGTTCTGAAGTTTGCTACCACTGGCTTTCTCTTTGAGGATATCAGTTTTCAATCAATTACAATCCTTTTTTTGTTCTGTTTTTATTTTAGCATTGATCTGTAACATCTGAACAATCTTGAGATATCTATTTTTGTGTAAATTCCACACTTTCTTTTCCTTTCCTGAATTTGTTTTTATGGTGTCTTGGTTTATAAAAGCTTTGGTGTTTGTGTGTATGGATGAGTTGGACTGCAAAACTAAGCAAGTTATTTCCTGCTTACTTTCCTTTTCAGTTTTCCCTATTAGCTTTGCTTTGCTTTTTTTTCCACCATCAGATTTGTGGACCCACCATTCCCAGACCATTTTGTTGATCCTCCTACTGCTGCAATCAAAAACAGTCATTTCAATCCTGATTACATTTGACAATCTCTATTTTTGATTTCCATTTATTTCCAATGTTTTCCCCTATTTCCATCAAAGATGATGACGAAACAGAATCTACAGAAACATCTGTCCTGAAAAGCCATCTTGTCAATGATGTTCCTGTTCTAGCAAGTCCAGATTTGCTGTCTGAAGTCTCTGAGATGAAACAAGATTTGATAAAAATGACTGCAATTTTGACAACAGATTCTTCTGAAAAAACAGATTCTATTAAGGTGAAAGATCTTACAAAAGCTGCAGATGAAGAGCCTGGAGAACCATTTGAAATTGTAGAAAGAGTTAAAGAAGACTTGGAAAAAGTGAATGAAATTCTAAGAAGTGGGAGCTGCCCCAAAGAAAAGCCAGCTTTGCAGAGATCTGCTTCTGAAGAAAAGTTGGTGGAAGAAGATTGGGTTCTTTTAAGTGATGAAGAAATTGAAGAGGCCAAGCAAAATGCTCCTTTGGAAGTTTGTGAGCCTATTTGTGTAGAAAAGAGAATAGGCAAAGGAAAATCAAAGAAAGAAACAAAAGACATGACAGGAATGATTGATTATCTCAGTGAGGATCTAAAAGTTTATGTGTCTTTGAATGAAATGCAACCGCAGCCATTTCAAGAAGATATAGTAGAAGAAAGATTTGAAGCTGTTGTTGTAAGCAGAGGTTCTGAAGCAGATAAAAAAGACAAAAAGAAGCAAGATCAATGCAAACCTACCCTGGAAATTAAAAAACCTGTTAGAAAGAAATTAAAAGATAAATTAAACCTAAAGGTTGAAGAAACCCAAGAAAAGGATAAGCCTTCAGGGCTAAACAAATTCAGTTCAGAGGAATCTTTAGATGAAGAACAACTATTATCTACTGCAGAGCCTGTGAAAGATACTGCTGTGTCTCCAGTTATAGAAGAAACCCCTATTGGGTCAATTAAAGATAAAGTGAAAGCTCTTCAGAAGCGAGTAGAAGATGAACAGAAAGGCCGTTCAAAGTTGCCAGTTCGACTTCAAGGAAAAGAGGCATCTGAGAAGCCTGTTACAAAGCCATCACAGACTAAAAAGATTATTTGTAAAACAAAACCTCCAGGTTCTCCCTCTTCCACAAAGACTTCAGCTTCTCCATCAGCCACAAAGATTCCACCTTCTCCAAAGACTTCTGCTGCTTCTTCCTCTCCTTCTAAACTGTCATCTCCTTCTACTAAGAAGCCAGCTGTTTCTCCTACCACAAAAAAGCCAACTCTTTCTCCCACATCAAGGAAGTCACCAGTTTCTCCCACAGTTAAAAAGCCATCAGTTTCTCCCACAGCTAAAAAGCCTCCTGTTTCTCCTACATCCAAGAAGCCTTCTGTGTCACCATCTTCTAAAACAGAAAGAATTGAGGAAACTATGTCTGTTCGTGAACTAATGAAAGCTTTCCAGTCAGGTCAAGACCCATCAAAGCATAAAGCTGGACTTTTTGAGCATAAGTCTGTAAAGCAGAAACAACAGGATTCTGACAAAGGGACAACTAAAAAAGGAGCTACTCAGGCAGAAAGTGAAGAGAAGCTAGCATTAACCTCTAGAGACACACATAAAAAAGACAGTCCTAAAAGCAAAAAGAACCAGGAACCTCAGGCAGAGGTAGGTTTGCAATCTAAAAAAATCACGCAGAGTATACCTCATATAATCTTGAAGAAAGATTTAATCACAAAACCACAGAGTGACAGAAAAAAAGAACCTCCTGTCATTGTTGAAGAAAAATCCAAAGATGTAGCCCTGACATTTGATGACCAAGGGGATACTGAGCTTCAGATTAGTCCAGCTAGAAAGACATCAACTGATTTTTCCGATGTCATAAAAGAAGAGCTGGAAGATAATGATAAATACCAACAGTTGCGGCATATTTCAATTACAGAGGAAGGTGAGCTTCACTTAGATCAAGTTCTGACCAGTCCATTCAATGTTACATTTCCATCAGAATATGTGAAAGATGGGGTTTTGCCCACACTCTCCTTGCAAAGTGGTGCTTTGGATGGCAGCTCAGAAAGTCTTAAACATGAAGGCGTAGCTGACTCTCCAATTGGTAGCCTGCTTGATGGAACTCCCCAGAACAGCTCTGAGGAAAGTTATAAGCACGAGGGCTTGGCAGAAACTCCAGAAACAAGCCCCGAGAGCCTTCCATTTTCATCTAAGAAAACAGAGACTGCTGACCAGATGGAAGAAACTATATTAGCCAGTGCAGTGCAGAGGACTTCAGAAACTCATTCACCAAAGGGGCTTTCTCCAACAGAAAAGCAAATTACTATTTGTGACAAAGACCTAAAAGATATGACAGAAACCACAGAATCCCATTCCCATCATATGTCAGAAGAACACTCCAAAGGCCTAGATTCTAGCTCAACTCTGATTGATAAAGATGCTCTCCATGATAAATCATCAGTGCTGGCAGATCAAAGACATTTAACTAAATTAGCTGAACCAACTGATTCTTTTATTGAAAAAGATGAGGATACATCCTTTGAGCCATATACCATTAGCAGAGGACTAGAGCTTTCATTTCCTAGCCATGAGGGAGAAGGTCTTAGCCCAGCTGCAGATGAATCCATAGCTATAAGTCATAAAGATTCATTGGAAGCAAGCCCAGTGTTGGAAGATAATTCTTCACGTAAAACACCCGATTCCCTTGAGCCTAGTCCAACCAAAGAATCCCCCTGTCGTGATTCTCTGGAAAGTAGCCCTATAGAACAGAAATCAAAGGCTGGCTTCCTTCCAGGTCCTGGTCCAATTCAGGCTGCCCCTGCTAAAGCTGAAAACTTCCCAGAACTAGCAGCTGTACGATCTAGACTCTTACGTGATCCTGATGGAAGCGCCGAAGATGACAGTTTAGAACAAACATCTCTTTTGGAGAGCTCAGGAAAAAGTCCTCTTTCACCTGAGACTCCTAGCTCTGAAGAAATTAGCTATGAAATCACACCAAAAATAACTGAATCACAGATTCTTGCAAATATACCCAAGTCCGCAGTAATTCCTGAGGTTAATGAAGATGATTCAGAAGATGAACCAAAGAAAAGAGTCACTCCAGAAGAGGAGATGTTTAAAATGGCGGCCAAAATTAAGATGTTTGATGAGCTGGAACAGGAAGCAAAACAAAAGAGGGACTTTAGAAAGGATTTCAAACAAGATGATATTTCAGCTTCTGATTTAGAAGGTGCTTCTGAAACTGAAAGGCTGCCTTCAACAACTCTAGAAGATAATGCTTTATTATCTACAATAATGTCTTCTGGAGTTGTATCTAGAAAGAGCTCTTCATCCTCAGAAAGTGAGCCAGAATTAACAAAGCTGAAAAGAGAAGCTGATTCTGGGCTGTTAATGGAACCTACAATGAGATTGCAACCTTCTTCACCTCATCTTTCCAATATGGATTCTAGTTCCAGTCCTGAAGAGACAGGATTTCAGCCTATAGAGTCTAAGCAGCAAGCATTCAGTACTGAGGAGGATAACACAGAATCTGATAAACCAACGGAGGAAACCAAAATGTCGTGTGATACTTCACTTGCTTCTGATGCCAGTATCATAGCACAGGCTAGTGAATCAAAGTGCTATAGTACAGATGAGAGTGACACAGTTAGTCCTAATGGCCCTATGATGCCACCTGAGGAATCTTTCTACCATTCTGCTGATGATGATGCTCAAAAAATTACTGAATTATATGAAACTTCAGTGGCATCATACCAGCAGGATGATTCTTTAAAAGATAGTGTAGCTTCTGAAGGGGTAATACCAAATGACTTAGTTAGCATGGAAGGAACTTCAGAGGGCTCCTGTACATCTGGGACTTCTCATTGCTGTGTTTCACAAAATAATGTATTGGCTACTGATGTTTCACCTGGCCACTCCCCTTTGGGAAGTGATATGGCTGGAACAGATCATAGGTTAGAGATGACAGACAGGGCCTTTCCTAGCATAGAGAACACCACGGAATACTCATCTCCAACAACCCCAAAAAGTAAATATGAAAGTGATATAGAAGAATTTGGCAAAAGTAGTGCTTTGCCTATAACAAGCCCTTATGAAAATGTCCCTTCACAACATTTTTTTACTAATGATGAAATTAGTACAGAAATTAATTTAAAAGCAAGAATAGACCAGTCATTTGATGAATATTATTGTGATAAAGAAAGCACTAAAATGACTGAAGGTAGAAGCATGACTTCTCTTTCTAGAACACTGTCAGAAGGTTCTGAAGTTCAGGTCCCAGAAGGTATTTGTATGGAGATAGAATCCAAGCAAATGGACACTTTTCATAAAAGACCAGCTTCAGCATCTTCGGCATCAGTCTCTACATCACTTGATGAAGCTGCTCTACAAGATATCAGGTATGAAGCTGAAGAAATAATTAGCCAAGTAATTATCACTAGGACAGATGTGGATTCTGACAAGTGGAGTCAAATTCGTGAAGATGATGATGCTTTTGAGGCTAGAGTGAAGGAGGAAGAACAAAAAATATTTGGCTTAATGGTAGACAGGAGATCACAAGGCACCACACCTGATACAACACCAGCCAGAACACCTACTGAAGACGGGACTCCTTCCAGTGAACCAAATCCCTTTCTTTTCCAGGAAGGAAAATTGTTTGAAATGACAAGGAGTGGTGCCATTGATATGACTAAAAGGAATTATTCTGATGAAAGCTTAGACTTTTTCCAGATGGGAGAGCCATCTCAGGAAGAAGTGTCATTATCTGAAGAAATGAGAGAAGCCGAAAGCCTAGAATGTCCCTCTGAGGAACAAACTTCTATTTCAGTTGCACCTTCTGAATTTAATAAAGCAGAAACAGCTGTGAAAAGTCCCCTTATATTTGTATCAGAGGATGAGACTGCTGCTTTATGTAGCACAAAAGAAGATGTTAAGTCTCGAATTCCTATTAAAATGGGTATTTCAGCCTCTTCAAAATCACCAAAGAAAGAAAGAACAGCTTCTGATCATGACCTTCCCTCTAGTGAGACATTTGATAGCTCCCAGATGCCTTGTCCTATCTCTCCTGAGCAGACAGTGATTGATGTACACTTAAATTTTTCCACAGTCACTAAGTCTGTTTGTGCTGACAAAGAAGATGATTCCCCAGATTCCTCCCCAGAGGAACAGAAATCTGTGATTGAAATCCCCACAGCTGTCATGGAGAGTGTGCCTTCTAGTGAAAGCAAATCCAAAATCCCCATTAGGGCTACTCCAGCTACATTCCCATCATCAGATAAGTCAGAAGCTGAGAGCCTTTCTTCAATTGGCTTCCTAGACAACCTGGAAGAACCACAGGATGACGCTTCCAAACCAAAATCTAAAATTCCAGTTAAGGCAATTTTTCAAAGAGGTGAGCAAGAATCTAATTTAGAAACAGAAACACGTGCCTGGCAGTCAGAATCAGCTAAAGTCCCTGATGTAACCGACAAGCTACCTATGAAACAAGACGTTAGGAGCAAATCTGAATCTGATGCCAGTGCCTCCATGGACTCAAAAGCTAAGCATTCAGTCAAAGCTAGAAGTTACACTGAGGCAGAAGCAGAGACCAGAGAGAGGGTGGGTGAGATGAAGCTCGAACTAGAATCAGATGAGTTGATGACTGCCCGACCAAAGATATTTTCTTCACGATTACCTGTTAAGAGCAGAAGTGCCTCAGCTTCCCGAAATGCTGTTAGTCCCTCAAAAGAAAGTAAGGAACATTTTTTTGAGCTTTACAAAAATTCCATAGAATTCTTTGAGGAGATTAGCGATGAAGCTTCCAAGTTAGTGGATAGACTTACACAGTCAGAGAGAGAACAAGAGTTAGTTTCAGATGATGAAAGTAGTAGTGCCCTAGAAGTTTCGGTTATTGAAAATGTGCCATCCATTGAGACTCAGCAGTCACTTGCCGAGGACATCTTTGACACCAGGCCCATTTGGGATGAGTCCATTGAGACTCTGATTGAACGTATTCCTGATGAAAATGTCCCTGACCATGTTGAAGGTATTTGCCAGCCACTGGGTTCCCTTTGCTACTACGCATGTCATAAATCGCAAGGTTTTGCCTGTTTCTTCTATTTTATTCCTTGCTCTGCTCTTGGTGCGTGGTTCGTGTGTTGTTTAAAAAGCTTCCTATGTTTATTAATGTGCTTGGTGTGAGCTCTGTTTGTTTTTGTGTTTTTTATGTATTTTACTGTCTCTGAAACAATCTCAAGATTGCACAATGCAAATGTTCACGGAAAGCATAAATATAACAAAATAAGCTTTCTCACGTGAAAAACACACACTTCCTGAATGTTGTAGTAACACTAATAAACTTATAACATTATTTCATTTGTAGTACAACTGACCAATGCAAGTTTTAGTTTTTGATTTTTCATCACTCTGCTTGAATCTTTTTAATGAAATATTTTTGACACAGAAAAAGACAGGTAAGATTACCATTTCTGGATATGTAGATCCATTTATATGTGTCAAAGTTATCAGAATCTAGAAACATACTGAACTTCGCTTCCATAATTAACTGAAGGCTGTTTTCAAATACTGAATGTACTGATTCAGTCCTATAAAATTTAGAGAGGAATGTTCATGTACTTTTCCCCCCTTAAGAATCCACTCCTACAGTAGTACTCTAGAGTACTAAGGAAAAATGATAGTGGAATTATGAATATATTTCCTAATAGACTTTTTGAAGATCTAAAATATGTCTATGGGAAAACAAAAACTCAAACTCTGCTGATACTGCCTTGGCTTTTGGATATATCTATTTTTCCTGCTGCTTTTATGCATATTTTCTCCAAACAAGTTTGTACTTGCTTTTCCATGCCTACTTTTGTGAAGAAGGAAAAAATTGAGGGGGGAAAACATGAAATGTTGGGTTAAATATATGATTTAATGTATCATCCCGACATAATAATTCATAATCTGCTGTAACTGTTAGAAGTTGTGTGGCTTAAAATGTGGTTCAGTGTTTGAGAAGAAGACACAGAGTGATTCTAGAGGCCACAAATACGCATTTAATTTGTTAACCGAAGTAGCATGGAAAAATAACATCTCTGTCCCAGCAAAATATTTAGTTTCCCTTTGTTTTATTTTATTTAAAATAGATGGGAACTTACATAAAATTTAGGACAGTGTTTCCAATAACATATTAATGCATATTTTTGAAAGAAATTCTTAATGAATGCTGAAGAGTAGAATATTTTAAATCTAGTCATTTATCAAGGCCTTTAATTCCCTTAAAAGCAGCTACTGTTCTAAAAACACTGGCCTATTTTATGGAGACTCCTTTCATTTTTTTTAAATTATTTTCATACAAATAAATAACTGTCCTATTAATCTTATTTTAGAACAACAAGATGATCAGGAAAGACTAGAAGAAAGATTAGCACATATTGCTGATCATCTTGGATTCAGCTGGACAGGTAAAGTATAATCTTGGAGAGATCACAGTTGTTAATTGTCAGAAACAAGACAATTGAACAGTTGTAATTCAAAAATGCTAATAGCAATCCAATCTCTCCTTTGATTTTAACTCTTCTCTGAATCACTATTCAGTAAAATGTGATGAAGTTTTAGTATTATTAGCATGGTGTAAATTTAATTGGTATATCTATGTATACTTTCTTGCTATATAAATATGAACACATGAAGTTATAACACTGGGTTCTAAAATAAATATGTCCTAAAATAAATATACACTATTATTATTACTAACAATCTTTGCTGACTCACTGTGGTTCACAAAATGCCAAAATACTATAAAATGCCCACAATAAAGAAAAAGCACCATGTCCATTTAAAACCACCTGAGAACATCAGATAGTTTTTTTTAAATAAACAAATGGAAATCTAAACAGCAAAATTTATCATTTCCTAAAAACGTTTTGGAAAAGTTCAGTGTTTAGTAATTTCCAAAAAGTCATTGCCAAGGGGATCAAGCTAACATGTTCCCCATAGTCCCTCTCTGAGGAATGTGGATAGTTTTAAAAATTTGAGAAACAAATATGAGGGAAAAACAGCATTTGCTGTTCTCTCACAAAAATGCCACTTCACAAAATTGGGCTATTGTAATGCAGTGCAAAATTGGGCCACCAAAATGCAGCATAAATATAATTATGTTTTATTGTTAGAACAAAAAGGAAAGGTGGATAAAGAAAATAACAATTCTAATTATAAATCTTTCAGTTCTTCTTGAGATGCACTAAATATGAATGATCTGTTTTATACGTAGTAGAAGACCAGCTGATCTATGTACTTAAGGAGTAATGCAGATGTATTATTGTTGTTTTGAATTAAGGTTAATAGAAACTGGGCCGTATTTCTAAAAAATACTTAAATATAGTTTGAACCCATGCGTAAGTTTTCCATAAAAACAGTAGAATGTTAGTCTCATTTTAAAAGTATATTACAGGTAGATGCATTAAACTTATTGGAGTCTTAATGCACCTATTTGAATTGCATACTCATATAATCTAGCAATTTTCCCACAAAATTTGATGGTTGTAGAATGGGAGCCCAGAAGAATGAAAAAGGGGTAGAAAGAGCGCCACTCCTGATCTGAAGCTACAGAGAATTCTTCAATTAAATAAACATTATGGTAATAGTGAGCAAATGCAGTATAGTAATTATAACTGGCTTGCAACTGTATAAGTCATAGTTCAAGTATAACCTTAAAAATGTTCCATATATATAGTAAAGAAAAACATCTATAATTTTGGCAATGCTGTTAAATATTATCAGAACTACCTATGTATGTATCTGGACAGAGGGAGGGAGGGAGGGAGAGAAATCGATATATAGATGTGTGTGTGTCTATGTGTTTATTCTGAGGTGAGTATAGAATTGTAATCTAAACATAGCAATAAGTGATATTTATAAAGAATTGCAACTGGTCAAAATTATCTGAATACTTTGTGCTTACAGAGCTAGCAAGAGAATTGGATTTCACTGAAGAACAAATTCATCAAATTCGGATTGAGAATCCTAATTCCCTTCAGGATCAGAGTCATGCATTACTGAAATATTGGCTGGAAAGAGATGGAAAGCATGCTACTGGTATATTTATTTTAGCAGTTACCATCCTTCACTCCTCTTCCATTCTGACAGCCAAGTGTACCTAAGAGAATGCAAGTGTCATGCAAAAGCAAACCAATATAAAGCTCCTACATACACACAAGGACACTCATACTAAGTATGGACTGCTATAGATGATAATTATCTATGATCTAATCTGCCTCTAAATGTAGCTACACTGTCTACTGAGATTACAGCACTGATGAAAATGACTTCTAATATTTCTTTTTTCTATGTTCTCAATGATATAGAATTGTTCATATCCCAATGGTATAAATTAACATGCCCATATTCTGTTTATATGCTTTCTTGGAAGACAAATAATAACTTGAAGGTAGTATGGTTTAATCTAAAAAATGATTCAAGTAGGGTAGGATAAATTTACTTTCCTATGCAATTGTCATTTTCAGAGCAACTGTACCTGCATAATTTCCAGGTAAATTCTGTGTATTCTCCACGATACCCTGTATTTGTATATACTCAAAAGAATAAGACAGTTCTGTGAATAGACATGTCTTTCCTTCCTAATATGATTGCCAAACATTAGTAGTACTCCTCCATTTTTTTTTCTGAGAGGTAGGTAATATATAAGAACTCTTTCATAAAGTCATATTTTTTATTTTTTATTTATAGTGTATTTAACTAATTTATATACTATAGTTGCCAATCTCACATCCGTGATGTGGGCCAGCTTATAAATAAAATATAAACAGTAACCCTACTCTTATTAGCTACTTCATCCCCAAGAAATAATTTCATTTAAGCAACCAAGATAATTAGTATCTTTTTAGTACCATATTATGTACAAGTAATCTTTATTTAGTTACCACAATTGGTGCTGGAAATTCTATCATATTATTAACTGGAAAGGTTGCTAAGTGAAATTGTGACTACGCTTATTATGTCATTTCAGTTTTCTTTTACAGGCCTGTAAAGATTGTAAATGCGAAGACTGGGCATAAAGTAAACTTTTTTTATCACCACCATAACTGCAAATATTCACTAAACGAGGCAGTCACTAATCAAGGGCTACCTATATTGTTAGAATCTCCTAGTTAAGTACTTACTATTGGAATGAAGAGACATTCCATTAATAGTGCAACATTTGGGGCTGCTTGCTTCAGAAGTATGGATAACCTGTACAGAGCTATCACATGGTCACCCTTTTTATATATCTGAATATACAGTATTTAGTGGGTAATTGTTACTTGGAAGATTGTCTTTCAAGCTATTTCAGGAGGCAATTCATATCCCTCCCCAAGAATACAATCAATCATATATAACTGTGATTATCAGGACAACTAGAAGGATCAAAAAGAAAGAAAAATAAATAACCACTGCTTTTCAAGTGATTAGAGACACTCTCCCTTCCCATTGGCTGACTTCACAGCAGTTATCCAAAAACTGAGTAGATGGCATTCTTCATGCATACAAATTGTTAAAAATAAATGCTGTCTCTTCCATAATACAGATTCAGGTCTTACAGAGTGTCTTAAAAAAATAAATCGAATGGATATTGTTCACCTAATGGAAAGTAGTATGGAAAAGTCCAGAGATCATGGTCGCACCTATGCAGAAATTGAACAGACAATAGTACTGGATCATAGTGAAGGTGAGAATGCATGATTACTATTCAGTAACTAACACATGCATGATTACTATTCAGTAACTGATTGTTATCAAATAACACCCATCAGCTATCACTGAGATAACTACCAGTGATTCTATACTAAAGAGAGCATTCTCATCAGTTCATATAGGAATAAATATAGTGCTTTTCAACATTGTAATAGTAATGATTAGAAGAGAATCATCACCAAATATTGAGAGGTCAATAGTAGATCTGCATATTGAAATTCTCTAGATGACACTTCACCATGCCACCCATAAAACCATCAATATTTTCAAAGAAATCCAGATTACCAGAGAAGAAGACAACAACAAGTCACTACCCTTCCTGGACATCCTGATCAGCAGAAACCACAATGGGAAATGAGAAACACAGACTAGAAAAACCGCCCATACCACTAATAAGTGTTCCACTACCAAAGCAATAGTCCAACCTCCCATAAGAGAAGCTGCGTAAGAACTTTATTTAGACAAGGACAAATTCATTGCAGCAACCTGAACAGCAGAAAAAGGAAATAAAAGCAGCTATACAACATCTTCTAATAAAATGAGTCCATGCAACTTTATCAAAAAGTGCCTGACCACTCAAACCAATATAGCACAAATAACACAAGCCGTAAAAAGCATAACACTGTCATACATCAAGAATATCTCAGAAACCACTGACTACTACAACCATATGAAATCAGTGTAGCGCACAAGCCAACTAAAGTCTTCCAAAACTAAGTAAATCAAAAACTCAGTATCCCCAGGGCAAAAAAAACACCAGGAATTATCTACAATATATGGTGTTATGACTGCAACAGCCACTACATAGCACAAACATGAAGAAGACTGCCAGAATGCATCCATGGACACAAAATAGCAGTCAGAAGACATGATGAAAACTCTACTTTCACAACATATGGACAAAGCTAATTATAGCTTCAGTTGGAAAACTCTGATCATCCTAGACCAGGGGTGTCAAACTCACGGCCCGCGGGCCAGATGCATCACATGTTGGCCCTGCCTCCACCCAGTTTAGCAAAGGGGGGAAAGTTCTATACATCACATGATGCCACCATGATGATGCGAGTTTGACACCTCTGTCCTAGAACAAACCCAAGTCCAAAAACCCTTTCTAGAAGCCTGGTATTCTGATAAATTAGCCATTAATAGACATATAGTTATAAACAATGTCTACATACTTTGTAAACGAGACAATAAAAAAGTCAAAAAGGGAACAAAAAGACCAAAACATCCCCCAATACCAACAATTAAGACCCAGATGAGCACAATTTAACTACAAGATTAACATCAAACCAGAATTTAGAATAACAAAGTTGGAAAGGATTTTGGAGGTCTTCTAGTCCAACCCCTTGCTTAGGCAGGAAATCTAATCTCTTCTGAAAATCTTCCAGTGTTGGAGCATTTACAACTTCTGGAAGCAAGTTGTTCCACTTATTAATTGTTTTAACTGTCAGGAAATTTCTCCTTAGTTCTAAGTTGCTTCTCTCCTTGATTAGTTTCCACCCATTGCGTCTTGTCCTGCCTTCAGGTGCTCTGGAGAATAGTTTGACTACCTCTTCTTTGTGGCAGCCCCTGAGATATTGGAACACTGCTATCATGTCACCCCTAGTCCTTCTTTTCATAAGACTAGACATATCGAGTTCCAAAAACCATTCTTTATATGTTTTATCCTTGAGTCCCCTAATCATCTTTGTTGCTCCTCTTTGCATTCTTTCAAGAGTCTCACCATCTTTTTTACATCATGGTGACCAAAATTGGATGCAATATTCCAGGTGTGGCCTTACCAAGGCATTATAAAGAAGTTACCAATACCCCAATCAAGCAACTATCAAACAAGCTAACAGTAAACAACCCAACCAAAGAACTCCAAGACCACTCCCACCAACACTGATAGGGCAAGCTGTTACAATATAAATTGAGAGCAAACCCCACTCTTTACTAGCACTGATGATGTTACCTACAGTAGTTTGGGTAATGAAATGTCTGCAAGAAAACAATCAAGCTTAGTGAGCACTGAGGAACCCTCATTTCAACCCCGAGCTACAAATACTTTCCTTTATTGAAATTCTGGCTATATGGAGTTTTATAGATAGGATTCCTAGAAATCACTAGCAAGTTCTTACTTTTGAATGCATGGCATGGTTATTTATCTATGGTTAAATATAACAAACTTTTAATTTATGTTTTGAAGCTGTGGAGTTGCTGGTTATATGGTCTTTTAGCACGAAATCTTTGCTCCACATCACATTATTACAAATCTGCATCTAGATAGCAATTACTTCATTTATAAAGATTAAATGATTGTTGTTTTATTTTGCCTTCAGGTTTCTCTGCACTTCATGAAGATCTATGCAGCACAAAAGATAAAAAAGAGGAAGAATATTCATTTTCTAAAGACAGTGAGCAATCAGATCATCCTCCTCTTGTTTCAGAAGAAGACCTTTCTCTCAGTTGCTCACCCTTGCATGAAGGCACATCAAAAGCTGAGGCAGAAGTATCTGTGGTAGAACTACTACACCAAATACAGAAAGATCATGTGAAAGCTGAATTCTCAGGGAAGCCTCATGAGCTAACAGAAGATTCACCTACTACACAAGAGTATGTGTAAGAATTCTACAGTAGGGCATCATATATAACAACAGGAAATATTTATTGCATAGAGATCATGTTTCACAAGCAAGGAACAAATACAAATTTTGCAAGACTAGGAATCCTTCAATTTCGCCAAGAAAAAAAATCAACGAGCTAAATAATTTCTAAAACTTTAGAATAAAGCAAATATATGACTGATATATCATTTTAAAATATTCTTGGACTTCTTAACTTAAATAAAAATAGTCATCGAATTAGTTACAATACAATTTTATTATTGTTTCTAACTATTTGTCATATTTCTGAGCGTGTTTTTAGCATGGCAAAATTTTGACTGGGTTAGATAATGGTTCTTTTCTTTTTTCTTTTTATTTTGAATGAAGCTCAATTCATGGTGAGATCAGCCAAGGTTCTCTGGATACTGAATTACTGGGTGAAATTTTCATTGAGGAGCAGACATTGCTTCCATGAGAGGAGTGTCAATCAGTAAGAGGCCAAAGATTCCCAAAGTGGGTAATCCTTGAGCTTGCCTATTCCTGTTCCTGGAAATAAATAGGTTCTCAACCTTTTCTTTACACAGACCCCCTTTAAATCCCTTTTGTGGTTACAGGCCATGGCCATAGACCTCCAAGACTTAACTCAAGATTTAAATCATAAGATTTCTTCATGCCTTCATGGACCCCCTGTGATGACATTGAGGTCCCTCAGGGTTCCGTGGAGAACCACTTACTTAGAATAAGGGCACTTATGTAATACTAGTCTCAATTAAATAGTCACAAAGAGACAATTGTTATGACACACATGACAGACTGGAAAGAAAACCATTAATTCTACCCTGTGGTGGCAATGGAACAAATGGAATGAATGGGAGCAGTGAAATTGCTTACAAGAATTCAGGAAAGCCAAATATTTTTTTAAAGGGGGAGGAAAGTTCCACTACTCAAAATCAAAATATATCATAATGGAGTACTGGAAAGCTAGACTGTTTTGGTTTAACACAGGGGTGTCCAACCTTGACAACTTTAAAACTTGTGGACTTCAACTCCCAGAATTCCTCAGTCAGCAAAGCTGGCTGAGGAATTCTGGGAGTTGAAGTCCACAAGTCTTAAAGTTGCCAAGGTTGGACACCCCTGGTTTAACAGAAATGTCTATACAAAATATTGCTAGATGCTTGTTTTTGTCTGATGAAACAGTTTACTTGCAGTTCTAGTCTTTTCCAAAGGAATATGATAACTTGAATAATATTAGATCTGTAGTCTTGACACTCGGTATTGAATTTTCACTTGTATTCTCACTCGATTTTACCCCGGGTTATTCGTTTCAAAACATTACGTGCCACTTTTCAAAACAGAGCCAAGTGGCTTTAGAATAAATCTTATTCCTCAGAGACAGACTAGAAGAACTAATCATTTGTTTCCTCCAATCTTTATTAACAGTATCGCAACTTCTGGAGCAGATTTGACACAAGTGCCCCAAAGTGTGAAAACAACCAGCATTGCCAGTGACAAGCCTGAGGATTCCACCGCAGGATGTGAAGATCTTGAAAAGCCACCACTGCATACTCCAACATCTAGTGACCGAACTGATTCTCCCATTGTGGAAGAACCTGAAGACCATTACTTTCAGCAAGAAGATATGCATCCAAGGAAAACCAGTCTGGTGATTGTTGAATCCACTGATGAACAGCCTGAAGAATTAGAAAGACATGAAGAAGAATTGTTAGAAAAAGTAAGTTGTAACACTAACATGATTCATGAAGTAGTGCCCTTTGAAGAATTAATGAAGAAGAAAGTCTTTAATGTAATTGTATTTAATACTTGGAACAGTACACCCAGATAATAAGAAATAAGAGAAGTTCGCACTGTAGATTAAAATACAATTCTAGCAAAAATACAATTGAAAGACAACGCACTGAAAAATGTAAAGCATTAACACAAAAGCGAATAAAGAGAAATATAACTAAAAAGATGCTATCATCTGAATAAGAACAGAATAAGCCTGAACTGAAAAATATGAAATGGATGTAAGAAGAATTCTTTGAAAGAAAGAAAAAATAGCAAGATTAAAATACTTTTTTTTTTTTTACTGTTTGATTTCTGTCTGGAAAGAAAAAAAGGCAAGAAATATTTTGAAAGCTTTTCCAAACATACATATTTTCAGAAAAATAAGAATTCGTTAAAATTGCACACTTTTCACATTTCAATTCCTTCAAAGAATGTATTAGTAATTAGATTGTGAATGAAAATGTACTTTTGTCCCATGGCAATTGAGACTTGTAAAAAATTTGCATTACAAAAATCAGTTAAATCAGAAAATAATACAGCTACACATTTTTCCAAAGAGCTGTTTGGGAATATTTAAGAGCATGCATGGAACATCTGTCTCTAAATGGAAAAGCTGGGTTGTATGGATGCTTCCTAAGCTATCCTTGACCATGCACAACAGTTTCACTCACTGGAAAACAATGAAACAAACAGGCAAAAATAGAGGTAGTTCTTGACTTATCACAATTTGTTTAGTGACTATTTGAAGTTACAATGGCACTGAAAAAAAGTAACTTATCACTGTTTTTCACACTTACGACTGTTGCAGCATTCCCATGGTCATGTGATCAATTTCAGCTGCTTGGCAACTGTCTCATATTTATGACGGTTGCAGTATTCCAGAGCCATGCAATCACCTTTTGCAACCTTCTGACAAACAAAGTCAGTGGAGAAGCAAGATTCACTTAACAACTGTGTTACAACTGCAGTGATTTTATTTAACCATTGTGGAAAGTAAGGTCATAAAATGGGGACAAAACTCACTTAACAAATGTCTCCTTTAGCAACAGAAAATTTGGGCTCAGATATGGGGGTAAGTTGAGGGCTACCTGTACATGGGTACATCCAGGAGCACCTTTGGATCAGTGGTGGGATTCAAAAATATTTACTACCGGTTCTGTGGGCGTGGCTTGGTGGGCGTGGCAGGGGAAGGATATTGTAAAATCTCCAGTCAGAGGTGGTATTTGCTGGTTCTCTGAACTACTCAAATTTCCGCTACCAGTTCTCCAGAAAAAAAGAATGGCTACTTTAGTATAAAAAGAGGTCTTTCACCAAACCGCTTCTTTCAAGGGTTTTGTTCAACCATAGAAAATAATTTATTTTTTTCCCTTTAAAACTCACAAGTTATGATGTTTGGCCCGACCAATAGAGCAGTAACCTAAATGCATCCCACCTATAGTTCTTCACAGCTCCCTGGCACTTCGAAAGTTGCTACCATGGCAACTCAATCATCATTATGAGCCTTTAAGAAACGTGTCCCAACTCCCATTGCAGAAGAATCACAACAGTAAATATGTAGTGAGAACATTTTATTTCCAGGATCTTTACCTGAAGACACTGCTGTTGCAAAAGTGAAAAGGATTTCAAAACTAACCTAGAACTATTTAAAACAAAATTAACTGTTTTCTAAGTGTAAAGGAATTATACATATATTTTACTGGCTAAAACACAGAAGCAATTATAGTAATTATTAGTTAACTCAAACTTGCAATATAATCTAGTCCAGTGGTTCTCAACCAGTGGTCCACGGAACCCTGGGAGGCTGTGATGGTGTCACGGGGGGTCCACGGAGGCTTGAAGAAATATTACGATGTAAATCTTGAGTTAAGTCGTGGTGGTCCTTGGCCATGTTTCATGGCCACAAAAGATATTTAAATGGGTTCCGTGGAGAAGAAAAAGTTGAGAAACACTGATCTAGTTCATAATTATCAATTTGTTGGAAACTCTTATCTGTTTAGTCTAATTGGGTTTATGGAAGATGAAGTTGTAACTATATTTGCATTATCCCACTGGTGTGCTTCTTGTAGTACATGGTATTGAAAGAAAGTTGAAGGCAGGTTTCCTCAGTTTTGCAACATCAAATGTTCAAAGAAGATTTCAAACATTCAGCCCCAAAATAGAAAGAAAAGTAATATAGCATACTTTGCAGTGTATCTCATTCCAGCAAGCGTTTGTATGGTGTTCGTTGTGTTATTAGAAAGAGGCCCAATTATTCATTCATATGTACAGTACCCGTATGATGAGAGCAATGCTTCCATGCTTCCACTAGGAGCTAGCAGAGGAATTAGGTGAGCTGGAGGTCAGCTCAGATGAGGAAGAGATGGTAACTACCAGGGTCGTTCGCCGCCGGGTAATTATTCAGGTACAGGAGTGTTGAACTATTGCACGTACCAGTGGCAACTATGCCCTGGTTATACCTCAAACCCATCCTTTCCCCAAAAATCCTGTTCCTGAAACACCCCCTTGGCTGACAATGCACTGATGAATTTGGCATGTTCCTGGGTAATGCATGTCAGTTGATTCACATAAATATTTTTCCCCCAATTTCATTTGGAAACTCAAGGAATGTAAATCAAAATGGCAGGTGTTTAATTTGCATTTTGAAAGAGACTTAACTCTCTGAGAGGACAGTTTGACTTGCTGCTTCAGCACCACCTACGAGCCAAATTCTTTCTTGTTCCAAGTTTGCATGCTTTTTAAAAAGGATTTATTTGCAAAATGTTTAATAGCATTGGAGGAATTTGCTTCAGTGCTTCTTGCCTAACTTACGTTGTTGTTGTTTGAGCCAACTAACTTCTGCTATGCAGTTTATTTAAAATAGCCAGTTATTTTGTTTCTGAACTCTGTTCTTTGTTCAATAGGCTGATGATGTGCCTGAAATACCCCCGGAAGCTGTAACGGAGGAACAGTATGTGGATGAACATGGCCATATTGTGGTGAAGAAGGTATTCAGCTGATGGTTTATTAGGAGAATACAAAGAAAGAGCATTTTAGTACATTAATTATATCTGAGCCATTTCAGGGTTTCCAGAGTTAAATTGAGGGGCTTTAGGATATTTTACTACAGGTCGTCCTCAGCTTACAACAGTTCATTTAGTGACCTTTTGAAATTACATAACTTAAAAAAGTAATTTATGACAATTGGTTGCACGATCAAAATTCAAAAGCTTGGCAACTGGCATGTACTTATGATGGTTGTAGTGTCCCAGAGTCACATGATTAGCTTTTGCGACCTAACAAGCAAAATCAATGGGGAGGTCCGGTTCACTTAACAACCGTGTGACTAGCTTAACAATTGCAGTGATTTACTTAACATCTAGGGCAAGAAAGGTCATAAAATGGGGCAACACTCACTTAACAAATGTCTCACTTAGCAACAGGAATTTTGGGCTCAGTTGTCGTCGTGTGTTGAACACTACCTGTATATGTAACAAGGGAATCTTTTATGGAAAGTGAGGATTTAGGCGCTATGCATTTCATACCACACGAGATAAAGGAAAACGTTTTATCCCATGTAACTGTTGCACAAAAATAGAACATCTTTATTCATTTTAGGAGAGAACAGAATGGTTGAAATTATATTTTGCAAAATTTGTTCATTTTGATTGTCTCTCTCGTGTGCACACGAGAGAGACAATGCTAGGTATTTTAAAGGACAAATATGATTGCCATGATTTAAAATTCAGCGACATGCTAACGTAACTCTTGATGAACATGTCATCCTGCTAGGTCACTAGAAAAATCATCAGGCGATTCGTTTTACCAGATGGAACAGAAAAAGAAGAAGTTGTGATGCAGGGAGAACCCCAAGATCCTGTGACAGTGGAAGAGGGAGACCGTTACTCCAAAGTCATAAAGCGGGTGATGTTGAAAAGTGAAAGTGAACAATCAGAGGTTAGATTTTTTTTTCCTGCCGTGGTTTATTTATTTGAAATGGATTTTTGAAATTGGCACTAGGATTACCCATTATACTGTAAATTATTATGTTCATTACATTTAATATAAACTTTTGTTTCATAAGGTTCACTTCACATGTCTTGTTTAAACCCCCTTGGAAGATGGCTTATTCAATGAAGAATCGTAGAGCAATTGTTTAATAAGTCTAGCACCCAACTATATCATTTTCCAAGAAATGAATGAATAGGTAATGTTAGCGCAAACTTTTCATAGGAACGTAGGAAAATAGTGTTTTGGGCATTATCTAATTAGCCAATAGTCATGGTTCTGGAGTCAGGAATTATTGACATAAGCAATTATTCATGAAATCTGTTTCACAGGTGACCTTTTCTGAGCCAAGCATATTACCAAGTGCCTCAGAATTCCAGACTGAACCAGTAGAAGGCCGCAAGGTCAGCAAAGTTATAAAAACTACCTTAGTGCATGGGGAGAGAATGGAAAAACATCATGGAGATTCTAGTTTAGCAGTGAATCTTCCATCAGCCAAAGATGACTTCGAAGAGGTGAGATAATTATATGGTTTTGGCAACACTGTTAGAACTGCAATAGTACTAAGGGCAGAAGCACATGTAGAAAAATTAGAAATATCTAGCCATAAATGAAGTATCATTATAGAAATGTATTCTTGTTTTTTTTCAGTATGTTTAGAAGGATTTTTCCTTCTGAAAAGGATCTTAGAATATCATCTAATGGAACCCAGTGAGAGATTGCTCTGAATCTTAATTTTAGGTCCCAAGCTGTAAAAGGGTGCTTTGCTGTGCTTTGATAATGCTTTAAACAAAGCCTTCATTTGAAGCTGCTTTGAAAAGGAGAGCTGCCATCCCACTTCTAGACAACAAAGCAAAACTATCATATCCTTCACCCACACTGTCACTCTAATGGTCTCCTCCAAGATAGGAAGCACCTTGGAAGAACTTCTATATTGAGGTTGCACATACTTATGCATGCACAGGAGCCTTTTTGTTGTTTCCTGTTAGTTCACTAGTTCACTTCCAGTATCTCATTAAAAGGAAGTGATACAAGAAGAGCACATTAACAAGACCTTTTCCCCTACTGAATCTGCTAGAAGAAGCAATTGGAAAAAAGTGACAAAAGTGCTTCAGAAAGACAGTTCATGTCACCCCATTCTTGGCAAAGCCAACTGGAGCCAATTTGTGTAGAGGAATCCATTACTATACAATGAATTTAGTTGGAACCTTTCACAACTGCCATATTTTTTTCAGACATAAGAAGTTCCCTCAGTTTGGAACTAATTGTGCAGCAGAAGCTTATCATCGATTAGTAAATATGAACTTTAATCCAGATGCATTTGGAGCAGGATTGTAAACTCACAATATCCTATTTGAAAGAAAATATGACTCAGTCTTGGTTGAATAAACAGAATATAGATAATTTCTGTTCAGATGGGAGTGATGTCAGCACATCTTCTTTTTACCATATTTTCAGCTTGAACAAGAAGCTCCATTCTTAGATTGAATACATTTAAACATAATATGCAAGAACACAGTGGAACGCACATAGTTGAGGACTTTAGGAAAGAAATCTCCAGTATAAATGTACTCTTAACAATATAATTCAATTTGCAAGTGGAGTTATTTTATTTATAAATCCAAAGAGTAAGCTACTCAAGGTATAAGAACTATGATCCTATTTGAAATATATATGTGATTCCAAGGATAATCCTGGATTAAATCATTTTTATTGTTTAAGAGCCGCCTTCCTAATGAATCAAATCCCATCTGTTAGTAAGACTGGAGCTCTTTCTATTCTCTCTGAGTTCCTTCAAGGAGAAAATACCTCTTTTTTCATAAGAGATCATTTGTCTCCATGAGGAGATCAGCATGAGAATTCTCAGTAAAAGTAGGTTCTATTGTTTTGTGACACATTTCCAAATTCTTAGTAAGTACAGAATTTGCAAATTGTGCAATTAATACTTTTTTTTTCTTAATTTGTTTAATTTGTCTCATTGGGTGTTCTGATATTTTAGCAAGTTAATATAATTAAGTTGTATTTGGGTCTTCTATGCTACAGTTATGCTTCCTGTTTTACTTTAGGCCCTGAATTACATTGGTAACAAAGTGAAAATTGAAGTCCCCCCATTAGTAGAGAAAGAGGTCATGAAAGAGGATGGGTCGCTTATTAAAAGGTTTGAGTTGGCATGACACTAGCCTGTGCAGTGACCAAAGATTTAACAGACTAACTGTAATGGTACTTGAATAAATGTCAACTTACAGTCTCAGTGTCTTAAGCTTTATTTGGAAACTAACACACTTGGTGGAAGAAGGGAGAATCAATTGGTGGAACAAACAGTTGTTTGGGAAACAGTGGAATTATAATTCTGATTCTAAGTTCTAAAGTCTGATGCTGCATTTCCACCTTTGAAGTTAGAACGTGTTTATTCTCTCCGAATAGATAATCAGATCATATATTCACCATATTTTGTACCAAGCAGATGTGTTGGGAATATAGCCCAAATTTCTAGGGAACAATAGAGTATTTATTGTTCTTTTTTAAAACTAACTTAGGAAGAAGAGGGCAACAAGATATGTTTTATTTTGTTTTTTGCTGCAGTGAGGAATGCTGCTGCTTAGACATCTAGTGTATTGCTTCTAATTTCCTCTTTCTACAAAGTTTGATAACCTGTCACAGGTGTGAATGTCTGTGCATATAACAGCACACACATTGCCTAAGGCATGGACCTTCCATCATGTGTGTGAATGACACAATTTTAGCAATATAACTAGCATTCATGGGTTGAATATCAGAAATAGAAGGAACAATGAAAAGGTCTTAACAATGTATAAATAACAATAGTCTGAGATTTTTTTGGTTATCAAATGGTTAAACAACCTAGTTCATTTGTTTCTTGAGGCTTACTATGAACTTGATATTCCTCTCCAAGAACTAAAAAGTCAGTAGAGCCTACTTCAATAGGTGGGGCTGTGGTTCTCAAGGAATATAACCCAAAGAAATAAGCTGTCTTTTCCACTGAATAAATTATTTCTGTGATGTAATTCTGTGTATTCCCATAACTGCAGAAACCTCTTATTTGAAGAGAAGTAGTAGAAAAAAATGAATGCAATAGAGCTTATTTCCCTTCACTTGTCTCAATGTATAATACTGAATGACAAATTTATTTATTTATTGACCTGTGTTCCATCTTCCTATCAATGAGATCCGTTGAAGTTAAATATTGTAAGTATGAGCAGGAATGACAAAAACTAGCAGGTTTGTAGTGAGGGATATGAAAGGTTCTCCTATCATTTATCTTGTTAACCTTGTTGCAGGATTTTCATACAAAGGTTGGTGTTGCTTGATTAGAACATATGAATGTAGGCACTGATGTTACAAAGTAATAATGTCTCTCAGAATAATTTTCCCAGTATCAGGAAGGAAAAGATCTTAAGATACGTTTATAACTGAAAGTTTCTGATTGATACAATGTTTACATAAAAAGTTTGAACCATACAAAAGTTTAAACCAGGGGTGTCAACCTTGATTTCATTGAGGACCGCATCAGGGTTTGACCTCAGGGGATGGTTGAGCGTGGCCAGAGTGGGTGTGGCCAGCTTGACATCACTTGTGTTAGGGGCGCCTGTGGGGACCCGAGCACTCTGCCAGTGAAAATGGTGCTTGAGAGGGTTGTATGTGGCCCTCTTGAGCTCCGTTTTTGCTGGCAGAGGATTGCAGGAGGCTGAAAATGGAGCAGCCAAAAACGGACCTTGGGAGGGCTTTGTGCGGACCTACTGAGCTCTATTTCACTGGCAGAGGCACCACGGGCTGGTTCTTCACTGTTTCCAAGGCGGCCCTGAGGGCCAGATCTAAGTGGATCTGGCCATGGGCCTTGAGTTTGACACCCCTAGTTTAAACTATCCTATTCTACAAAGCAATGTGAACTCTGCAACAACTCAACTTTTGCCTTAGCCAGAAGCAGGCTACAGCCAGGGGTGGGATGCTATCTGTTCGGTCTAGTTCTATAGAACCAGTAGCTCTGAAGTGCAGCAGACATGGAACCAGTTTGGTGTTTGCTGTTCTGTTTGGTACAGTCACCTGTCTGGGCTCTTGGCTGTCTTTATTTCCTGCTTTTTCAACCTCAGCTGCTTTGCGTGGCACAGTTGAAGTTGAAAAAGGAAGAAAGAAGAGGATTTTCAAATGCTGCGCACCCATGCGCAGCGCGTGTCAGCTGTCCGGGAGGCACATCTGAGGTTTTTAGGAAATGGTCTACACACATGCGCAAAATGCACTCTTACCAGGGGTGGAATTCTTTCTGCCAGAGAACCGTCAAATCAATGGGCTGGCCCCTTCCAGCCCACTGACTCCTTACCTGGCATGCATGCCATCAAACTTGCTGGCTAAGTTGCTATTTTTCCTTTTTTTCCCCCTGAACATCAGCTGTTCTGCTGTGCCGGGAGATTTAGTTTAGCTAGAAAGTAGGAAATCATCAAATTTCTTGCTTCCTAGCTAATCTAAAAGCAGAGCTGAGCCTGATGCTGAACCTGAATAATCATTCAGTGCAGACTCAGGTAGCAGATGGCAGAAACACAGATCTCTAAGTGAATCTGTGATTCCGTGAGCAACTCAATCTGCCTGCTTGCTCTGCCTGATTTTGGGTAAAACTTGCTCTTTTTTTAAATAAAAAATTTAATATGTACATACATAGTGTGTTGTGAGTTAGTTTTGTGAGTTTGCTTGCTAGCAAATTTGATGAGTTTGCTAGCAAACAAATTTTATGTGACAGACTCAGGTAGCTGATTGCAGAAAGATACATCTGTGAATGAATCTGTGATTCTGTGAACAATTCAATCTGCCTGCCTGCTTTGCCTGATTTTGGGTTAAAGTTGCCCTTTTTTAATAAAAAAATTCAATATTTACATAAATATTAATAATATTCACATACAAGCCATGCTCAGCCAGTCACATGACTACCAAGCCATGCCCAGTCAGCAAGCCTTGCCCAGTCAGTCACATGACCACCAAGTCACCCACAAATTAGGCCACACCCACAGAACCGGTTGTTAAGAAATTTGAATCCCACCCCTGGCTACAGCCTACACCCACAGTCCCTTTAGGCAATCATTTGTCCCCGCCTGTGCAAGTTTATGTCATACACAAGACATTTCTCAAATTTCTGCTGACATTTTAACAAATCTACCAATTTAAATCTGATTGCAAATTTAGGCTTGCATTATGTAAATGTAGCATAAGAAAGGAAATTAAAAAAACTAACGTTATTGATAATTTATATATGAATATTTAGCCCTTTTCTTAGCTCTTTAAAGTCAAATCAGTCACTGTCTTTTCGCCTACATACAGAACTCAAAACTCATGCTAGAATTTTGAAATGAAAAATAGAATGCAATTTCCTTTTTTAAAAAATTCTACAAATTCACACATTGCCTTCTTTGACTTCTTGTAGGACAACAATGAGTAAAGCTAGTACACAGAAGAGGACTGTGGTTAAGGACCAGTATGGAAACCGGATTCATGTGGAGCTGCTGGAGGACACACCAGAAGCCCTACCCCAGGATGATCTTCAGCATGACCTTCAACAATTATTAAGGCATTTCTGCAAAGATGAGCAGAAGAAAGAGGCCAAATGAGATGCTGCTAAATCTCACCCTTAGACCACCACACATATCCATTAACTGTCCAGCTTTCTTTTATCATAGGTGTTATTATTTAACCTAATCATCAGGGAACACAGCTGTTTCTACTTTGAGCATATAGAGCAGGTTTTCCATTTCATTTTCTTTGTTTCTAAATATCTGTAAGCTAATTTGTGACCAAAGATCACATCCTTCATTCTGGATGGTTTTACCTACCAAGTCATAGACTTTATGCACTCTCCTGACTATCTTGTCACCTTTGGCATTTTTATTCTTTATTTTTGCACCAGATCCATCAACACATAAGTTTCTTCCACAGGCCTCTTAAAATGACAGTGTACATGTGTTTTTTTTAAAGGATATTATTAACTTTAAACTGTAAATAGAGAAAATATGTGGATTCACAAGACGGGGAAAGAAAGAAGCACTGCCTAGTGTGACTCTTTTAGCATCAGGACTATAAGGTTCGTTGAAGAATAATTCATGTAATATTGCTAACACAATCCATTACAACTAGGAGATGGATCTATCAAGAACAAAGCAGATCAATCCTTCTGTGTTCATAGGACTTCCAGTGTAATAAATTACTTGACTAAAAAGAGTCAGAACAAAACCTCAAATTTCAGCTGTTTCCCTTACAAGACAGTTGATTGCAGCCATTACTGCTTCTTTGCTTCCTGGGAAAGCCACCTCAAGATTTCCTGAAGAAAAATATTCCCAGTTAGATATAACGTGCTAGCAGCTATACCTGTGGCACTTTTGCATACTGTATTTAAATCTTTTAGATCAGGGACATGAAATGGGTGCATTCAATAGTTCTGATCTCTATACTGTTTTGATCACTCCTTTAACAAACCACGCTGTCTTAGAAGGGGTTGTTTCTGCTGGCCACTGCACTATACACATTTTGAAGGAGGAAAAGAAACCGTTACCTTTTAGGGGAAAAAAAGAGATTTCTCACATTCTGTCAAGATTATCTCTTTAATCTGGCACATGCATGTGGCATTGGAATATAAAACATGACCTTTCTATAATCATGCCAATTGCTTCTCATCTTTCCTAGCACTGAGCGAGCAGATATTACCATTGTGTTTGAGGTTTTCTCTGGAGTTTTATTTATAAGGAGACAGGAATCCACCACGCCTTTGTTTGGTTTTTTTTCCTTGCTATTTTATTTATAGTCCTTAACCACCTTTCAAGCATTATTCATGTAAATGTCTGCACTTTGATTTTCCAAGAAGGCATAAATGACCCTGGAATTATTTTGTGTGGTCTGTACCTAATTCTAATAGTGGTCTGAAGCTCTGTAGCATTTTAACATATACATGTAATTATATATATTAAAATGCTACAGAGCTTCAGACCACTATTAGAATTAGGTACAGAC